TCGCGCAGCCGGCCGCCCGTCCCGCTGTCGCAGGCGCCGCCCTCGTCCTCGCTGGCGTCGCTGCCGCCGCCGCCGTCCAGCATGCGCGACGCCGCCTGGCCGCGACCCGAGCCGGCGGTGACGATGACGATGAAGGCGGGCCTGTCGCACGACATTCCCGCGCTGCTGCTGGACCACCAGCAGCGCTGGTTCACGGGCTGGGGCGACGAGGAGGAGCAGGTCGAGCAGGGGTGGGGCAACGGCGGCGGCGACGACGACAGGCCGCCGCGCGTCGGCAACCCCAAGACGCCGAGCCTGGGGCTCGTGTGGTCGACCCAGGTCGCCGCCCGCCTCGCCCTCATCAAGCGGCCCATCCTGCCGGGCGAGAGGGAGGAGATCGGGAGGCCGGACGGGGACGCGGGGGCAGGAGGAGGAGGGGGAGGAGGCACAGCCAACAACAGCAGTCCGCTGCGCACGTGGCGGCGCTGGATGAAGGTCGTCTTCGCGCCACACGCGCCCGAGTCCGGCCCGGGCCTGGACGGTGCCGTCGAGTTCGACATCACCCCCGCCGGCCTGCGCGGGTTGCCGCCGCCGAGGGGTCGGGCGAGGACCGGGAAGAAGAGGAAGCGGGCGGCCGAGGGCTGACGAGGCCCCTCCCTCGCCAGCGACGGTGAGTCGGGGTCACGACATTGGAACATGTGCGCGTGCCGTGTGGGCATCACCGACTGCGGCCCGTGTGGCGGCGGGACTCTGGATTACGAGCAAGCGATACCATTTCTGTTCTTTTTTTTATTCGTTTCTTCTTGTACAACCGGCGAGGGATTGTTTGGCATATACACCAGGATAGACCTAGCACTCGGATGAATACGACCGATAGACCCCCCATTGCCAGGCAGTATGCTCCCCACTCCACTTCAACAAGAGCAAGGTAAGGTCAGCACCCTTCTCAGCCCCTTCTTAGAACCTTCGCTTCACAGCACACAGGTGAACGAACCCGCTCAGTCGAGAGAAAAGCCCCATCTCGTTTTTGCAAGAGTCCCTAGAGAGCCTCTGCTTTCCTACGTACGTTACATAGACTACATTGATTGTGTGTGCCGTTCCCATTTCCTCCCTCCTCTCATCCATCCTCAAAATGACGAAACCACCTTTCCCATGTTTTTCCGTGCTTTGCAGATGAAGCAGAAATGAGGATGAAAAGAAGGGAAATCCGCATTTTAAAAAAACTTGACGAATAGTGCGTGCGCTGCGACCCTGAAGAGAGAAAAAAAAATCCAGTCCCAGAATTATAGCTCTCCCTCGAGCAAATGCGCGGAGATCATGTGGGGAAAAAAAAAAGACAACAAGGACAAAATCCCAGAAGAGAAGACCAAGGATGAAAAAAACCACTCCCAGCCGTCGTGATGACTGCAGGTCTGCCGCCAACAAAGGGACAGAATGGCATGCCCAACCAAGAGTTGTACCGTATCCACCCGGTTGATTCAAAAGAGCCAAGTCCCGAAGAACCACCTTTGTAGGTGTGGCTTTCCCAAAGTGAACCCCATCATATCGAAAAGTGGTGTTGGCGAGGGCAGAAGTAGAATAGCCGGCAGCGGAAGCCATGCCCTGACGCAAGAACCGAAGAATCAAGGTGAAAGAAATGGCTCAAGCTCGGAAAGACAAAAAGACAGGAGAAGGAAGAGCGTCAGAAAAACAAAGACCGAAGAGAGCTGTAGAAAAAAGGAATACCCGAAAGTTCTATCCGAAGGGGTGCCGTTGTAGCAGCGTTGTCAGGTGGTTGATACACGTGTACAAGCGAGAGGCGATCCCAGCTCCCGAAAAGCAAGCGAGCGAGCCATCCCGCCGGGGGCGGCGAGACAGAGCACACAGCTGACCTCTCTTGGGGCAACAGGGATGATCAAGTCCTTGCTGTCTGAGCATGGGAAGGGCAACCCGTGGTGGAGGTCAAGGACCACCTCGATAGGGGAAAAAAAGAGAATATTGAGGGCAAGTATGGGAGACGCAAGATGCCGGTCGCTGTCGAGCCTTGAATAGTGTACAACAAAGCAGAGCCGGACAAAAAGGGAAGTGAGGTTAAAGGAAGAGTCGTGATTCCTTTTCTCACTTCCCCTTGACTGACTGCTTATGCTCGAAATAGGTGAGGCGGGCATGAAAGAGGGCCCCTCGTAAAGTCTCATTTACGTGTCGTGGGCGTCGTGGCTGTGTAAAAGAAACAACAACAAAGAAGGGAAACACCGATCGTGTCAGAAGGGAGACGAGAGGCACATGCAGGAGGGCTGGGCACGACAGGAAACAGCTCTAGACCCAGGTCTGCTCGCCGTTCTCACCCATGCCAGGAGGGCCGCTCGGGATCTGGGCAGGCTGCTGGAACTGCTGGCCCTGCGGCTGGTGAACCTGCTGCGCATGCTGATTGATGCGACCGTACTGGGGCGGCGCAAACTGGGGAGCAGCCCGGACAGACGGGGCAGGCAGCTGCGCCAGCTGCTGCAGAGCCGGCACCGTGATGACATTCGACGAGGGGAATGCCGACGAAGGCTGCTGCGAGCCACGAACACCGTTGCCAGCACCGTTGAGGCCGCTGAGAGTGATGCCGCTGGCGAAACCACCCGAAGCAAGGATTGAAACATTGCTACCGCCCATGGTGCGGTTGTGGGACGGCGGGTTGACAGGAATCTGACCCTGGGTGCTGTCCGAAGGCGTAACCTGGCCGCTAGACTGGCCACTGCGGCTGTCAAAGGCCTGGATCTTGGCCTGGATGCGACGACCATAGGGCGTGGCACGGATGTTGGGCAGTATGGGCCGGATAGCATCCACCAGGCGATGTTTGGTGTAGTGAGTCGAGTACTCAAGAGCGGTCTGGATGACATAGTTTGCAAACGAGTCGCGCAACAGGCGCTCGATCTCGCCGGGAGCGAGAATCTCCTCGGCGATCATGTCCTTGGACCCGTCCTGGGCGCAACGCAGGCACTTCTCAATCACGTTTGAGCTGAACTTGTGGCGCGACAGAGCACTGATGCGGCCGCGGAACATTCCCACAAGCGGCTCGGTGAAGCTGGGCTCGTTCAGGTCGATGATGTACTGGACAACGTAGTTGCCAAAGGGATCCTGGACGAGCGCGACGGCGTGCTCGGTGATGCGCTGGATCAGCCACACCTTCTGGTCGCCCGAAGCGTGGTCGATGCAACGCTGAAGCACACAGCAGCCGTGGCGGTGAGTGCCAACATCGATGGCCGACTTGCCGACGGCATCGAAGATGAACTGCGATTGCGTGCAGTTGAGCTTGTTCAGGCACTTCTGGATCACGTGGTTGCCGTTGAGGTCCTGGATCAGCTCGACCACGCGGTTGCGTAGAGACTCAATGATGATCTGGACCTGCTCATCCGTGTTGATGAACTCAATCATCTTCTGCAGAGCGCGCGTGCCGTGCTGGTTGAGAGCGATGCGGACCATGTCCTGCGACGCGTTCTGGATCAGAACCGTCCGCTCCTCCTCATTGCAGTACTCGAGCAGCTTCTGGCAGAGGTAGTTGCCGAACGGGTCCGTCATCAGCTCAACCACGTGCTGGTTGGTCTCGAGCCAGATCATGTGCACATGCTCGGGCTGACGGTTCTCGAGCTGCTTCTGCAGATAACGGCAGCCGTGCTGATCCTTGCACAGCTCATAGATGGTTCCGCCAACCTGCTCGAGCGACAGGTTGTTGAAGCGATTCATAGCCTCGTTATCCAGCGCGCGACGGTTTTGGATGACGCGCGCCTGGCTGTCGCGCGTAGCAGGCTGCGTGTAGATGTTACCGTAGCCCGTGTAGTTTTGGTTGGGGTACAGCGACGAGGGAGCGCTGAGGCTCATGCTGGCCAGCTGGGTGGCAAGCAGAGGCAGGCCGTTGGGGTAGGTAGTCACGGCATTGCTCAGGCTGGGATACGTCTGTCCGCCGCTCTGGAAGAAGCCACCGTTGGAGTACTGGTGAGCTTGCATGGCCTGAGCCGGGCCCGTCGTGGGAATGGCTGGAGCAGGGCCGCCCTGAGACACAGGGCCCATGGGACCGGCGCCGTAGGGCATGGCATTGGTGTGCAGAGCAGAGCCAATTGATGCGTAAGGTCCAGCCGCGCCGCCCTCACGGCTCACGGCAACATTCACCGTATTGTCGCCCGACAACTCACGGCTGTGGCGATGGTGCATGACACCAGCCGGGATGCGGCCGATGCTGGCATTGTGATTGTGAAAATGCTGATTGGCATGGTTGTTGGCCGTGGCGCCCATGACGGCAGCAGTGCCTGCGGCGCTCTTAACCGTGGGCACGTCATTCGCCGAGTACGAGGACTGAAGCTTGGGAGGCGATGCAATGACATGCTGAGCAGGCGCAACTGAGGCGTCGCTGGCCGTGTCAGCGTAGTACTTGTTGATGTCCATTGACTTGATGTCGAAGGAGCGGCGGAGCGAAGAGTTGCTCGTGATCGCCGTCATGCCTGAAAGCTCCGAAGTACCCTGCTGAGCCGACACAGCAGATGAGGTGCCATTGGTGATGGACGACAGCGACTGCTGCCGGTGGCGGTTGACCTGGCTCCAGCTATCGCCAACGCCCTGCTCCATCTGAAGCTCAGCGGCCGACATCTTGGAAGCGGATGAGGTTAGCTAAAGGCAACGCGTAAAGGCGCGAAAGAGCAGAGCCAAAAATGAAGACAAAAGAATCTTAAGAGGAATGCGGAGTGGACGAGATTGAGTGAAAACTCTGGTGAGTCTTGAGCGAGTTGGTGGTCGAGAATGCAGTGTATCTCGACTTTTTTTTGTGTGAGAGAAGGAGTGGGGTACTGGAAAAATCTGTGTGTGATTTTTTTCCCTCTTGTGGGATGAGAGCCCCGGAGGTGGTAGGAGATTGGGTGGTGCTCGGGATTGAGTTGGGAGATATTGGAATCTGAGAGCAAAGTGAAGAGTCCCCAGGGCCTCCAGATTTCATCACGGCTCACAGCTAAAACATCACCGCGGCAAACAAAAGGCTCATGATGAAAAGTAGGAATGCCGCGCAATGTCAAGCATGAGTGAGAGTGAACTTACCTCGTGCCTAGTCAGAGTCGGGAAACTCTCGTCGGTGTTGGCGAACTGGCTCATGTCGCCAGTGTTGTCCTCGTCACCAAAGAGGAACCGCGTTGTGTTGGTCTGGTCGAGGCCAAGGTCGTAGAATCCTGTCCTCGAGCGAGTAACGGGCATAGAATAGCGATTCAAGCTGGAGATTGCTTCTGGTCAGCAACGGAGGAAACCGAACGGGTGATTCCCAAGTCGGGTGAGTGGTTCTTTTTATGTGGGAAAGGTAGAGACAAGTGCGGGAGGTGGAGCGCGGGAGGAGAAAGCCGCGGAAGGAGAAAGCTTGTGACAAGTGGAAACGCGTCTCCAGCTGGCCGTACAAAATTCAGGCCTGAGCCAGAAAATGAGAGATATTGACAACAGAACAGCCGCTCCCCGTCTTGTAGAGGACACCAATACAAATCTCACAACGGTACAAAAACACACGAGAGGCCGTAGAAAAAAAGAGTAGGGTTGGGCTGGATAGTTGGGAGGTGGCATGCAAAGCAGAGGAAGGGGACGTCGGAAGATTCACGGGTGGCAGCCAAACACCAGTCACCCGGGGCCGTCCACGCTGCCTGACGGCCTCGAGTGAATTTTGACCACCACCACCAACCTCACCCAGCTCCAGAGGACCCACGTTGAGTCTCTCATCTGATCATCCAGCCATTGGAGAGCACAGCAATCAAGCAAACAAACCACTTGGAAGTTCGATTCTTGCATTCCATCCCACCCCGCCTGGTGCCCTCGTCGGTCGGCACTCGACGCTGGTCACGCGGCAACCAACAAAACAAGATGAGGGAAAGAACTCGAAACGCGGGGGCAAATTTTCCGAGATGGGAGGGCGGGCAAAATTCACGTACGCGTTCGTTGACCGGTGGCTCGTGGGGTCCTGCCGGACAGCCTCCTCCTTCTCGTCTTCGTCGCTGTTCCTGCGCGTGCCGGGCATGGAGCGCGCCGGCAGCTGGTCGTCAAAGGCGAAGCCGCGCGTCAACGGCAGGTTGCCGCCGCCCGACTGAGGTGAGGCCAGCTGCGAACCAGATCGTCCGGGCCGGTTGTACAGCAGGCCCGGGGGCGACACCAGGCTCGAGGTCGAGTATCGGTTCGGCCTCGAGAATATGTTGGGGAACCCGGCGTTCGGGTCTCTGTACTCGGGAGGGGTCGTCGGCTCCGACTGGTGGCCTGCCGCGATCCGGCCAAGATCCTCCGTCATGGCCGCCAGCTCTTGCTCCTCTCGCCTCTGCTGCAGGTCCAGCTTCTGCATCTCTGCCTCGAACCGCCGCTTCTGCTCCCGGAGTTTCTCGTACTCCATACGCTTCTTCTCTAGCTGCGGGGCGGGGTTCATGGCCGGTTAGCCGCTTGCGTCTCATGCTTCCAAGTCCTCACGAAGAGCCACCACAATAACAAGCCCGCCCGGCATTGTCCTATTCCACATTGCACCCTTCACACGACTCCTCCTATCCCGGCCGCAGCTCGGGATTCGCAGTGCGCGAACTTGAGGCCAAGAAAGCACCTCCTCGCCCACTTCCTCCAACCAGGACCAGAAGAAACAAACTCGGACTCAACGCGAGGGGAAAGAAGCAGCAAAGAAGGGTCGCATACCAATTGCACCTTGTGGATCGCCTATTTCCATCGAGACGCCCGGGTTAGCACGCATTCCAGCCACATACATTCCCGCAGAGCAGACCACAGTTCTCCCCGCCTCGTCCAGGAGAGAGGAGCGCCGGGGCGTGGTCAACGGGGAAGTAGGGGCAGAAACCCACAGCATCGGTGGCAAAGCCCTGCTGCGACTCCGGGCCGCGCTGCGGGGCAATGTTGGTCAGTGTCGGCACGCGGCCCGAGTCGGTTGTGAAGCGGCGGGGGAGTGTTGAGCGCGGGTCGTGGGGGGCGCTAAAGTTCTGCGAGTGGCGGTTCGAGTTCCGCGGCGGCGAGACGAGCGAGTTCATGGTGTGCTGATCGTTCCTCGGGGACTGTTGCGACCGAAATCGCAACTCGTCCATCTGTTTCTTGTTTCGGCCGGTTTCGTTTTTTCTTTCCTTTTCCTTTTCCGCCGTTTTCCTTGCGGCCTCGTTGTCGATGCCCGTTCCTGCCTCGGTCTTTTGTTTTTCCCCTGCTTTTAACCCCTGTCTTTCGTTGCAGATGCCGGCGGCGACACAGCGACTTGATGGATGCTTGTTTGGCTTCTTTCTCTTCTGATTTCGTACACGGCCGTGACCGCCAGGCTAACGGGTGCGACAAGTCGGTCGTTTGCGAGGAGTGGGGGGTGCGGGGGTGAAGCTCTATTATACTGCGGTGGCGGGAAAGAAGAAAAAAAGAAAAGAGGCCAGCCAGTCAGCAAGCGGCTATTATGGAGGGAGAGAGAGTTTTGAGGAGGCTCTCCAAAGGGGAACGACGCCGAGAGTTTTTGCAAGTCGGGTTACGACAGCACACTCCCCGTGGGTATTTTTGTGGGCAACAAGCAGGGCCCAGGGGGTTTATTTCGACAGCAGGCCCCCTCCATGTGGCGGCCCCCCAGTGAGCCTCCCTCGCGGGCCGCAGTCGGGTCGGTTGGCCAGCCCACCGCAATTGGGAGGAGGGGGAGGCATCGAGGGAGGGATGGAGGGAGGAGGCGTGTGTGTGTGCCTGTGTGCTGCGTGTGCTGCGTGTGTGCCACGCTTGTGGTGCGCGGGACGGACCCCAGCCTCACGCGCCGGACGATCGAGACAGGACGCAGGGCCAGCGCACACGGCGCAGGGGCATGCGCCAGGAGGGAGGGGAAGCAGATGGGCGTCGGGCAGGCGGTGGGCAGTTGGCAGTGAGCAACATACGTACCTGTTGAAACAATACAATATCGATAACTGACACACGGCCTCTGCGGCCTGGAGAGCCAGGCGGACAGCTAGGATGCACAAAAAAGAAACGGAGGCGTTTGCGCAGGGACTCGTGACCCCGAGGGGATGGATTAAGGGACCGGACCGGGGGAAAAGAAGGAAAACGGGAACCAAAAAGGGATTAAAAGAGCGTGGCCAGTCGAGACTGGAGGACGCTGCAACAAGAGCGAGTTGCAGTTTCGAGTGAGGTTGCCATAAAAAAACCCCTGGCCCACGACCCGGGACGAGGCCAGCGCGGCCAATCGAAGCCAGAGCTGAACCCTGGGACCCCAGCCCGCTATTAAAAAGTGGACAATTTAGACGCTGGCCTCCCCACCCCAAACCCATGCCCCATGCCGCGCCCTCACCTGGGTTGCACCTGGGTAGCCCCAGCCAGCGAAGGAGCATTCGGCCAACCAAAAGCAAGCCAAGCCCGCCAATCCCCCTCGCTCCAGGGCGCCATCGACGGGATCCCGATCGGCTCGTCGAGGGACACTGGCTGGGACGGGCGGCCGGGAAGAGATCGGAAAACACGCCAAAGCGGCTCCAAGGTTTTATTTTTTTTTGTTTTTGTTTTTGCCCTTTGCCCTCCCTTTCTACCATTGTCTGGGTATCTGCCTCCCTGCTCGCCTGCCCTGCCCACTCGCGCTGATGCAGGCCAGTGACATTCCGCCTAGCGCCGCTGACACGTCTGCCAGGCATGGAAGCTTGAACTCGACTGACGTTGCCCTACTTTGCCTGTCCTACGCTGCTCTGCTCTTGGACACGCTATGTCAGGCCCGAGCCGGCCTCGAGGGCGTGGCTTTTGATTGCGGCATTGATTGCAGCAGCCAAAATCTCCCTCCGTCCCATCCCATGGATCCCTCCCTTTGCCCCCCTCTTTGACATGGAGCCTAACGTGCTATATGTACCTACATACAGTAGTCTGCGCCGAAGCTCCTGTCGATGGCGCTGCGGAGGCCCGCGTCTGTTGGGCTGGGTAGTGTAGCACAAACCTACCACACACACACCATCACTAAGCGCCATGCACCGTGAGCACTCCCCGAGAAGGCATGTTTCTGTCCACGGCCGGCTCTCTCAGCTGGCCCAACGCGGCGGCATCCGCAAAGCCCCGAACCCCTCCATCCAAGGCTACCGAAAATACAAAGAGGGAAACAGGAGCTGCCCCGCTCACATGGCCATGTGTCCATAGCCGAGAGTCTGCTGCCCCGGGCTACAGGGAGGGCTTGCCTGCTTTGCTCGACCCCCACCTCCCCTCCGACAAGGACAACCAGCGCACCGTAACCCTCCAGGCATAAGCATCCAGATTCGGACAGTAATGAAGCAAAAACAGACAAGAGACCCCCATGCCCACCCATCCATCGGCTTCCATCGTTTCTGATCACGGCTGGTGGGCCCGAAACACACGCATCCTTGCTCTGCCCGCGCACTGTCCTGCGAAGCGAGCGGTGTAGACCCCCCTCTCCCCTCCACAAATGATGAAGCTGGTAGCGCCCCTCACGCTCCCCCGCCGTTGATATCACACCCAGCTTACCCGTCAGACGCCAGCAAAGGTAACAACAAGCAACAAGCCTTCTTGCTGCACCGTTTTTCGGGGGGCGCGGTTGCTGGCCCATTGAGAGACTGCTGGAAAAGGTTGCTATGTACATTATGTTCTCTCAGCCCAACTTCCGGGCCGTGATTGCTTTTGTTCGAACGCAAGGGTGATGTTTGTTTTGTTTTGTTTCTTCGCATCACATCGACTTTGTGATTTCATGCCAGCGAATCCGCCCCGTCTGCGCCTGGTGTCGTTCTTGTGCCCATCACTAGAAAGGGGTTAAAGGCAAAGGAAATTGAGTATTAATTTGTTTGATAGTCTATTGTCTTGTTGCCCCGTTCTTGTCCTCAAGGAATGCCTACCCATCACACGGGTTCAACTCAAAACAGAAAAGGCTCTGTCGGTCATTCCGCCCTCGTCGCCCGCCTTCCCTTGTCCATACACCCCTGCCAGCGGCTTACAGGACACAACTGGCACCCTTCTGGATTTTTCCCTGGTGTTTTTATTTTATTTGGCAACATGGAGCAGGCTACGAACGACCATCGGGGGCAGAAGGCGCATCTGTTAATCTGTCGGGACAGGAAGGAACCGCATCAGTGCCCCCGCGGAACACCGCGCCACGAGCTACCTAGACTAGAAGCGCCTGCCCACCCCCTCTCAGAGTCCGTTGCGCTTCGCTGGTCGTACCAAGTTTGAGGAAACCGCAGAGAATCCAATGGCGCGTGCACCTTTCTCGAGCCCATACATATCTCGCGCCCTCTCGATTCGCTTTTCTGCCCATCCATTTCTTTCCCTCCTCGGGGATTTCCCAGCCGAGACGAAAAGTCCCATTAGGCTCACACACCTCTCACCCACCTGCAAGGGTTGGCGGCCATAGATGTCAGGTGATTGCCGAATTGATTGATATTCCCATCTGATAATAGAAATCGCTCCCCTTCCTGGCCCCGAACGAACCCACGCTCCGAGGCATGCAAACAGGAGCTGGGTTCGGGATCTGCAATCAAAGGTGATCATACCTCGCTTTATCCTCATGGTGAACACCGAAGGGACACCATTGTGCCTATTCTGAGCACACGCGACAGGGCGGGTAGCCGCCGGTGCAAACAAGCAGCCACAGCACATTTCCGTCACGACACTAGGCCGGGATCCATGACAGAAGGAGCAGGGAGAGAGAGAGAGAGAAAAAAAAGAAAAAAAGAAAAGAAAAAAGGTCCGACGCATGGCGACATCGTGTCAGCGGTAGCCCGCTACCGAAGCGTTCATGGGCAAGGGCAGGTGTGTGATGTAAGCGTGCGCCGGCTGCCCGTCTGCTCCCTGACTGGCAGGGCCCCTCCACCCCTGGGTGGCCAGGGCAAGGCTCCCAGAACAAAGAAAACAAGAATAAAAAGACAAGGCCGACCAACATGCTCCTGGCCTACAGTGCCCGTAGCCCCGTATTCTCGGAAAAATAAATCAGCGTGTCCAAGGCATCGTGTCAGAACCTAGGTATAGTACCTGATCTGCTTTGCTTATGCAAAACGTAAACCCCTCCAAAAGCTTGGCGTCGGGAGCTGGGATTGTTGGACTTGGGCGGTGCTAGCCGCCGCCCTTCTGCCTCAGCCAGTCGCCAGCCGCTGCGTGGGCTTGCCTAGCTCGTGCTCATTGTGCCTTACGATGGTCGGATAAATGGTGTTTCTACATTGAGTAGCATTTATCCGGCTCCCTGTTCCCCATCCCAAAAAAAAAAACCCCCCACACACATCAATAACAAGTCAGGATGGGACGGCTTGCCGACTATCAAACACCTGCCGTTTGTGGCTGTTGGGCACCCGTCATTCCGGAAACGAACAAAAGCCACGGTACCCGACGGTCGAGGCCCGGGCTGCCTGGTCTGGAACTCTCGGTATCGACGTGACAACGGTCATTCCGTCCGTCTCCCTTTTTTGTCTACACCAAATAGGCAGGTAACGTGAGTAGCCTACCCTCTAGCCGTAGGAGCAACCGGGGATCCCGCTCCCGCAAGCATGTCTCCTGTCCTGTCGCTCGCCTGACCTGTTGGCGAGTCAAACGCGGGAGCCCTGATGCATGTCCAGTTGTCAAAGTGCACACTAGATGGAAACGAGGTCAAGAGGGTGAGAGGTGAAGACCGTCCCGTTCTCCTGATTGAATCGCGCGCTGCCGTGGGCACATATCCTGGGGCGTTTTGGGGAGCCTCATCTCCAAGCTGAGGTGGTGACAAACATAGAGCACCCAGCCGAGGCACAAGCACCATTGACCATTCATTGCCCTGTCTGTTCCAAGGCGGTCGGTACTCCATAGCCAACCGGCGTCGGCTGGCGTACCCTTAGCCGCGCAACCCGCGTTGACAGCGTCACTACTAGTTGCCAAGTTTCCTCCCGTTGCCTTTTCCGGCCCTATCCTTGGAGTCCAGCAAGCCGCTGGCAGTTGGAAACCCCCCGCGATGGCGAGGCTTGGTGGTTTGGTTTTGGGCGAGCCTGCACTGTATAATCGTTACTGTATTCGTCAAAGCCTCCGACTCACCGCTCTTTTGTTCCAGCCCCAGACGCCGTCGCTGTCCCCCACCTGCCGAATAGTAGGGCGTCTCTGAGGACCGAATAGAAGAAAAGCATCACAAAAAAGACACGACAACGACAAGAAGGGGGGATGGAAAAAAGAAAGGCAGGAGTCTGGCCCCGTTTCATCAAGAGCGGAGCCCACGATGCTCCATCCAAGGGACGGCATGTGCGTGCATATGCATCCAATCACCAATTGCCACTGCAGCCTCCCAGTCGACCCTTTTGGGCTACCCGAATTCCGTTGGCTAGAGGGGGAGCGGTGAATGCGGACCCTGGGAGGGGCTACGTGTAGGTGCTGCACCGTACCTGGTCTGTTCAGGAGGATTACACCGCAGCAAGAAGTGCTGTTTCTCGAATGTCCCCCCGAGGAGACGAGAGGTCTAGACACGCGATATGGTGTGAAGCGCTTGCTTCGTCGACCCAGGCCTGGCCACTCCTGCTTCTTGGCTCGTCCAGAGGCTCCCAATGGCCATACATCATGTTGTATGTGTGTCCTAAGTGGGGCTGGCGTGATAAGAAAAGAAAGAAAGAACAATGGGGTCGATGCTCGTCGTCGTGGCCGCCCAGTACGGGCTCCATCCTACTGGCCCTTGGAATAGGACGACCCTCATGGCTGCGTCTGCTGGCCAAGGGGCTTTCCGGTTGGGGTGCGTCGGAACTGACGGCGAGCACGCCGATGACGGCGCGGGGGCGGGGCAACCAGAGATGGGCGTTTGCCTGCTGCCGCCACGCTTTGGCGGCAAGGTACCTACTTAGGGAGGTAGGCAGTACACGGCGACATCCCTAGGTAGTCTCGTGCAGGTTGACGACGGCGGTTGGGTTCGTCCGTGGACTGCTCACCTACTCAGTGACGGTCATACAAGTCTATGCCAGGCGCCGATACTACCATCTCGATATGGACACAGGCGAACTATCCCGCGGACGGCGTGCCAAAAGCGTACTACAATAAGGTTAGCAGGGCAAGCCCACCCTCGGCAAGGGAGAATGCAGGGCTGGTGGGCGGATGCAAGAGCTTGCATTCACTGCGTCTTGTTCCCCTTGCTGCCGTGTCGCACGACGCATGACGGCGTTGTGGACGGGAAGGGCGGGATACTGAAACGAAGGGAAAGATCTGCCTGGACGAGTTGGTGTGCTTGAACCGAAGTCGAAGGCGGCTAGGAAGAGGGGCAACAAGCGATGCTCCTGGTCTGGCGAATCCACGCTGCTTCAGGTCATGAGCGAGGGAGGCGTCTGGGCCCTACTGATAAAGTCAAGTAGGTACCTTGTGAGGTACCCTAGAAGATGGTATCGCGGTATGTCGGTCGCCTGGAGGAGATGGGACATGGCAGAGGAAAGTGGGGAATCCCAATGGGGAAGAACAGCTCTTATCTTATCATTTCGCGGCGCGAGCAGGGACCCATCAAAAAAGAGTGGCGGCGGGGAACCTGGTTGGCAACGACGCATCGCGACTGACGCAGAAAATTGTTCGCGCCGTGGAGAGCAAGAAGTAGCAAAAAGTAGCAAATAGCAGCACAAATAGCATGCCAGTCCCCGCGTCGCAGCAAACATGACTGTTGTCGACGACGGGTTCGAAGCCCTGCTGGAGCCCTTCTACAATGGCAAGAAGCTGACGGACCCGATCTCGACGGCCAAAGACAAGTGGCAGCTGCTGCCGGCCTTTCTCAAGGTCAAGGGCCTCGTAAAGCAGTGAGTATTGTTGGAGATAAATACTCACCAGAGGAACTACCGCTCACCACCCTTCTCCTTACACAGGCACATCGACTCGTACAACTTCTTCATCAACCATGAGATCAAGGAGATCGTTAATGCGAACCGCATCGTGCGCAGCGATGTCGAGAGCGGCTTCTTCCTCGAGTTCACCGACATCCGCGTCGGCAAGCCTAGTCGCGCCGAGTTCACCGACTTCAAGGCGCACAACGAGGTGTCGCCCATGGAGTGCCGCCTGCGCGACATGACATACGCCGCCCCCATCAAGGTCGACATCGCCTACTTCCGCGACAAGAAGAAGGTCATCCGCCGCAACGTGACGTTGGGCCGCATGCCCATCATGCTCAAGAGCTCGCAGTGCTGGCTGAGCGGCGCCACCAACTCGGAGATGGAGGACATGAACGAGTGTCCGCTCGACCCGGGCGGCTACTTCATCATCAACGGCACGGAAAAGGTCATCCTCATCCAGGAGCAGCTCAGCAAGAACCGTGTAATTGTGGAGGCTGATGAGAAGAACAACATCATCACTGCCTCAGTCACCAGTTCCACCCACGAGCGCAAGTCCAAGACGTATGTTACGCTCAAGAAGGAGCGCATCTCCCTGAATCACAACACCCTCGTTGAGCCCATCCCCATCGTCATCGTGCTCAAGGCCCTTGGCGGTCTTCCCGACTACGAGATCATGCAGCTCGTAGCGGGCGAGGACGCCCGGTACCAGGACGACTTCGCCGTCAACTTCGACGAGGCCACGCGCGCTGGCGTCTTTACCCAGCATCAGGCTCTGGAGTATGTCGGAGTTCGCGTCAAGGCGGGCTCAATCCGTACCAAGATGCCTGGCAGCGGCGGCATGGCCCGTCGAAACAACACAGAGGAGGGTCTCGAGGCTTTAGCCAACATGATCATCGGCCACGTGCCCATCGTGGGCCTTGACTTCTACCCCAAGGCCATCTACGTCGCCATGATGGTGCGTCGCGTTCTCATGGCCGCCCAAGACTTTAAGCTTGTCGATGACCGCGATTTCGTCGGCAACAAGCGTCTCGAGTTGGCCGGCCAGATGTTGTCGCTCCTCTTTGAGGATCTTTTCAAGAAGTTCATCACCGATCTCCGCTTCAACATAGACAAGGTGCTGCGCAAGTCTAACCGTGGCGTGCCCTTTGACCCCTTGAACTCCATCACGGCCACCTCGGGCCACATCACTGCCGGAATGAACCGGTCCATCTCGTCGGGCAATTGGTCCGTCAAGCGTTTCAACATGAACCGTGCCGGTGTGACGCACGTTCTGAGCCGGCTGAGCTACATCAGTGCCCTTGGCATGATGACGCGTATCAGCAGTCAGTTCGAGAAGACACGCAAGGTCAGTGGACCTCGCGCGCTGCAACCGTCGCAATGGGGTATGCTGTGTACGTCGGACACGCCCGAAGGAGAGGCGTGCGGTCTGGTGAAGAACTTGGCCATGATGACGCACATCACTACCCAGTTCCCCGAAGAGCCCGTCAAGCAGTGGATTCTTAGCCTGGACTCGGGCGCCGAGTCGCTCATAAACTTCTCTGGCTCCGAGATGCACCGACCAGGCAGCTACATGGTCAATGTCAACGGCACACCATTCGCTCTAACGGCCAACCCGGAGGAGTTTGCGCGCAAGTTCCGGACAATGCGCCGGAGAGGTTTCCTGTCGCCCTTTGTTAGCATAAACATCAACTACCACTTCTCCACCGTCAATATTGCAACCGACGAGGGCCGCATCTGCCGCCCATACATAATCGTGCAGAACGGCGTGCCCAACGTCCGGGATGAACACCTCGAGATGCTGCGGCAGGGCAGGGCCCAGTTTGATGACTTCCTGAACAAGGGCATTGTCGAGTACTTGGACGTCAACGAGGAGAACGACACACTCGTCGCGCTCTACGAGAAGGATGTGACGCCGGCACACACTCATCTGGAGATCGAGCCCTTCACAATCCTGGGTGCCGTTGCCGGCCTCATTCCTTTCCCACACCACAACCAGTCTCCCAGAAACACGTACCAGTGCGCTATGGGTAAACAAGCTATCGGCGCCATCGCCTACAACCAGTTTAACCGAATAGACACCCTGTTGTACACGCTCGTGTATCCGCAGCGGCCCATGGTGATTAGCAAGACCATCGAGCTCATCCATTACGACAAGCTACCAGCTGGCCAGAACGCAACCGTCGTCGTCATGTCTTATTCAGGCTATGATATCGAGGATGCGCTGGTGCTGAACAAGGCGTCCGTCGACCGCGGCTTCGGGCGCTGCCAGGTCTTCCGAAAGCACACGGCGGAGCTGCAGACATACGCCAACAACCGGAGCGAGGAGATTGGGCGCCCAGAGATTGACGAGGCCACTGGCCGGCACACGGACAAGAACGTGGCCATCGACGGCGACGGGCTCGCTACAGTTGGCTACCGCATCCATGCGGGCGAGGTCATGATCAAGAAGCTTACCCCGATCGATCAAGGGTCAACGGGGATCGGCAACGACGTGGGCTCCAACGACTACCGCGACACCTCCATATCATACCGTACCCCGGATCCTAGCTACATTGACAAGGTCATGGTGTCGCAGACGGAGAAGGAGCACATCCTGGTCAAGGTCCAGACGCGCCAGACGCGCCGTCCCGAGCTGGGCGACAAGTTTTCGTCGCGCCACGGCCAAAAGGGCGTGGTCGGCATCATCGTCGACCAGGAGGACATGCCGTTCCAGGACTCGGGCTTGGTGCCCGACATTATCATGAACCCACACGGTTTCCCCTCGCGAATGACGGTCGGCAAGCTGTTCGAGTGTCTGACGGGCAAGGCCAGCGTCGTCGAGGGTGAGAAGCGGTACGGCTACGGCGACGCCTTCCGCACCCACCCCGTCGAGGAGATGGGCGAGGCCTTGGTCCGGCACGGCTTCAGCTGGGAGGGCAAGGACTACTTCACGTCAGGCATCACGGGCGAGCCGCTCGAGGCCTACATCTTCAACGGCCCCATCTACTACCAGCGCCTCAAGCACATGGTCCAGGACAAGATGCACTCGCGCGCCAAGGGCCCCCGCGCCATCCTGACGCGCCAGCCCACCGAGGGTCGATCCAGGGACGGAGGTCTGCGCCTGGGCGAGATGGAGCGCGACTGCCTGATCGCCTACGGCGCTTCGCAGCTCCTGCTCGAGCGCCTCATGCTGTCGTCGGACGCTACCAGCATCGACATTTGCCAGCGTTGCGGCCTCTTTGGCTACAAGGGCTACTGCCAGACCTGCAAGAGTACCCGTGAGGTTACGGCCATGACCATGCCCTACGCTGCCAAGCTGCTAGTGCAGGAGCTGATTAGCATGAACGTCGGTGTGCGCCTGCAGCTCGAGGACGAGTTCCCGCATCCCGACTGATTTCTTGTCTTTTCTTTATTCCCCATATGTCCATGTACATATATCCCCGCCCATATTCGGAGTTTTGGAGGGCCAGGCGTCTATGACAGCGTCCTTGAGGGGAATTTTTACGTGCATGGCATAGCGCGGACGGTATCAAAGAGGCTGTTGTTGTTGTTTTTCCTTGATAATTTAGACAGGGAAATGTATATAGGCAAATAAGAGCGCGGTGACGTCGATACGCTTACTACATACATGGGTCTTGTTACCTTTTCAGCTCTGTGAACGCCCCCAAGTCGAGCAGCCGGCGGCGATCCCGGTCATGGAGGTCGCGCTGAGACCGATGTGTCTGCGTAGGAGCCCGCTGAGCGCCGCGTGAGATGCCTCGCAAGGCGCGCAGTAGGAGGTTATTTCGCTGCGCGGGATGCTCGGCGGTGCGGCCTCTTCCGCCAAGTAAGGACCTGAGAATTCCGGGTCGTGACGGGAGTAGATGTCGTCTCAGAAGGTGAGATGGACGCGGTAGGAGGCGTTGTGCGTGTGCCAGGAAGTAAGCCGGGCCCTATTGTTGTTGATGCCCGTCGTTTTTTTTAGGTCCACTCAACGGGACATTAGGGCGTTGGCACTTGGCGAATATGGACGTCATCTTCAAAATGCGATGTGTCGCCGTGTTGCCCCATGCCCAGGCCGTAAGCCGCTTCTGCCTCTGCAGCAGTTGTCAAGGCCACCACCCACCGATGGACGCAGTTTTAAAGACGCCGGAGGGAGGTGGTTGGCAGCGAGGGTCTTGAGGGGTTCTTTTGCAGCTCAAATCGGCCGCGAGGAATTCGAGGATGTGTACAGCGTTTCGGGGGAAGGGTACCGTGACGATTGCCGCCAGCGGGCTGTTAACGGACGCTCAAAGGCTTCCGTATTCTTCCCAAAACATGGGAATTCGTTTAGGCAAAACAGAATGGCTTGTGACAAAAAAAGTTTAGTGGTACATCCACGAGAACGGCGCGGGTAACGAGCCGGGGTTTGGCAAGAAGTGATGGCGGACATGAATTTGCTCCCCTCATAAAGAATCCGAAAACAACGTCAGATACAACGAGAGCAAAGCAATAAGAAAAAGGAAAAAAAACAAAAAAAAAAACTCACTGCCCAACCTCGAGGGTGGACAGCTACGAAACCTCCCACTTGGGCCCGTTTTCTTCGATCCCCTACGGGGGCTTGAACCCAGAACCCAAGCGGCTATTGCAGCGGAGTACAGGTAGGGTCCCGGTTGTCGACTCGACCCATCCTCATAACCGCTACACCAACTTGGCGTCCTCGGTGTTCGATGACTACAGACTGCGGGACACGTGCCTATATGCGGGGGTATGGGCCTAGGGAGGAGGAAGGCGCGCGCGCACGCGGCAGGTGCAATTGGCAAGGCGGCCGCAGGTGCACGCGTTCACGTTTCCGCGTCGTCCGGGCATTTTGATCTTTGCGTGTGCGCGCCATCGTGAAAGCGGGGACTGGAGGGGGCCAGGCTCGGGCGGTAATTTGAAGGAACAAGGAAATGTATGTTATTTGCATTGCCAAGTGTACCTAGGAGAGAGCAAGGGAGGTCGTAGGTACCTACATATGATATCTACAGCTTCTGCGTGCTGATAGGACAACTCCGACATATGCGACCAAGGCGATGCCGATTCCCATCCAGATCACATATGGCCGAGTTGCCTCGGGACGGGACGGGGTTGCTTTCGAGAGACTGGAAGTACAAGCGGCGGCTTAGCGCGAGCGCAATACCGGGCGCAAGAGAGATATCATGATAACAGGGAGACCTCCCGTTGATGGATATAACATTCTGTCATGACCACTCTCTTCGCATTCCCAGGGAGCATAGTCTGAAGTTTGGCTGACCTCGTGTATCATCCGCCACATGGTATAGTCGTATCTAGTCCTGGTCTGGGCGGCGCCCCCTTGCTTTATGTCGTCCAAAATGGCAGCAGGAGATAGACCCTCGAGGACGCACCGTCCTCGTCAAAACGGTGGGGGAAAAAAGTACCCAAGTCAACGAGACGCTCAAAGCAGACACGATAGCTATTTAGATAAAGATGCGAGTCTTTTTATAGCGTAAAGAAGCTGCCAGATTCACAGAAGAAGTCGCCGATGCCGCTGCAAGAGCGCTTTGATCACCTAGGCAAGTCCCAACTGCCTTATACGTATATGAAGGTTGCAATTCGGACATGTGAACAGCACTGTCTCGTCCGCTGCGCGCCAGGGCTACATGGAGACGATTGCATAGCCTGTCTAGAGTGTTGTTATAATCATCGGAGTAGAAGCTATTCCTAGAGCCGGTTAGAAGTAGATAAGACTAAATCTACATGTAGTTACGGGTTACTAGTCCCTAGATGTGGTAGTGGCTTGAGTAGGTTGAGGCAGCTGTGCCATGCATATCAGGGGTCCTAAGTAACGGCTTTGGTGGTTGAAGAACCAACAAAGCATGGTGGAAACGGCAGTTGGGAGGAGGAGTGATGTCGCGGAGAGGGTCTGCGAGAGCGCCTTCTTCCCATATAAGTCCCCAATATGGCCTTTTACCCACTTTCTCGCATGCAGCGTGTAACACCGACACTGGTACCGACCCAATCGTTGACGTGTCGCTCCCGAAGCAGCCCTGGCACATATTGGGATACACAACACATGATCACTTTGCATGCTTTCATCGCCGCGGATACTGCCGTATCAGAGTCTAGCCACTATGTCAAAAGGTATCGCGTCAAAAGGGATCTCCACCAGGAGAACGCCTGCCTTGTTCATTTTGCTATCATTTGAAGTTTTCATGTCCCTTCGCCCAAAATCAAGAGAGTTCCCATGAGCCGATATGCACGCCCCATACAACGAGACCAAGGCCGAATGACCTGCGCCGATAACAAGCCCAGGCTTTTCCCCCCAAACCAAAGTACGAATCGAGGTAATAACGCAACCATCCCAGAGGTCCCGGTCTCCCCCTGCTGCCATAGCCAATCGTCTTCGCCGCCGCCGCTGCCGCCATGTCCACTTTCGTGGAGCATAGACGGCGAGCGAGCGAGACGCTTAGCGGTAGCGCCACAGGGACAGGGTGTTGTGCCTCTTCCACGTCTTCCTGCGGCCGGCCGTGGTCTTGTTGTAGCGGTGACCCTTGTTGAGGCCGCGCGACTTCTTGCCGGTGGCGGTGAGGCCGCGGGACTCGCGGTGCTTGTGCACCGGGTTGACGATCCAGCTGATGCGGGGGTCGCGGCGGATCGCCTTGTGCTGGGGGTCAACGAGGATGACCTCGTAGTACTTGTAGGTGGAGTCCTGGTTGATCCAGTAGGAGTTGAGAACGCGCAGGTTGGCGCAGCGGCGGCCGACACGCTCCTCGGCGGTGGACTTGAGCGAACGCTGGTACTTGAGCTGGTTCACACCCTGGTTGGTGGGCTTGCCTATTGCGGGGAAGGGTATGGGTTAGAGCTGATCATTCTCACTTGGCTGTCACACCGGTCTGCACCGCTCCCAGGTCGCCAGCGGACAAGGAACACAACATACCATAGGTGGCGCCCTTGGGAACAGGTCGCTTGCGGCCACCACGACGGACGCGCACGCGGTAGATGACATAGCCCTGCTTGGCCTTGTATCCGAGGCGGCGGGCCTTGTCGGGGCGCGAGGGGCGCGAGGCGCGGTGGATGACGTTAAGCTGGCGGTACTGTTTTTGTTGCGAAATACACTCTCAGCAAATGTTCAACGAGTGTAGATCGAGGACGGGCTGTCTCTGCTTGTCGTCTCTCGCACCGTCCTTCAGCCTGCCCACGACCAACAATTCGAGTGGCATGTGCGAGGCTTGGGGAATAGGTCGAAAGGCGGACAAGAGGACAGCCTCGGCCGGCCCAAAAAAAAAGCCATGATCGATCGATCGATCGAGTCGGAACGGTGGTGTCTTTGTTCAACGTACTTCCCAGCAGCGGACGCGCAGCAGGAAGCGCAAGATATCCGACTGCTTCTTTTTCTGAAGCTCCTCGACGTATTTGAGGGCACCCATTTTGGCGGCTGGAAGGCGGACGGCGAGAGGTCAATTGTCAGTTGTGGGCGCCTGCAAACAATAGGATAGCTCCGAGATGACCAGTCGATGCTCGGAAAGAAGGATAGAGGCAGAGTACTGCTGGTCACGTACCTGGTTGTTGTGATGCCTTAACTTACCGTTGGGCTTCTTTTTTTCGTGATGCTGCCGAAAATGGGGGGAAAGGAATTTGCTAGGCAAGAAATTTGGATTCACCTCGACCCGCCAAGTAGGGCAAGCAAACCCTCCCACCACGCTAGTCCAATTTGGTACTAGACTCCATAAAAGCATAAAAGCCAAGCTGCCCCGCTTCCTGTTGCTGCTTCCCTGTCATGATGACTCAGCTGATCCATGTTCTTGATGCTCAGGAGGTGGGTGGCACGTTGGGTGACTGGGCCAGAGAAGCAAAACAAAAGGCAATGCGTATTATTTCCTTCCGTCTGTCTTGCGCAGCATTACTATAGGGTATATGCTCAAACACACTGGCTTCAAACTCATTACGTAGCGTTGTCCACCTGTCGCCCATCCTGCGCATCAGATCCCGTTGCAAGCATGCGAAGCGCCTTCACCTGCACCCCGCGGGCTTTGCCCCAGCTGCCAGTGCCGCTGGCCGCGCCGCCACTCTTCTTGAAGCTGTCTATGGCCATCTCCCCTTTCTCATCAAGGCCCTCGGTGCCAGGATCACGCGGCCGTTCCTCCGTGATCATGCAAATCGCGATGTGCTTGGCCCAGATGTGTGCGAAATCGACAATCTGATCGAGGCTCTGCGTATCTTCCAACCATTTGGCCTCGCTGTCATCTAGGAGCCTGCTTCCATCGTCTGGTGGCTGCTCGTTACCATCCAGCTTCTCCTGGTTGACGTGTTTGACACTTTGGTAATTGGCTAGCGTCGACTTGCAGGCGTGAAACAGGGTCTCGGTGGCCTGGAAGAGCCTCTGCTCCTCTTTGCTGCCACCGCTGGACGCTATAACCCGACTATAGACATCTGGGGCGTCCCCGGCGAGATCTTCTTCGCTCTGGGCAGACCTGGTTAGGAGGGTTGGCGAGCTGTCAGCTCTGGGGGATAGCCCTCTGACGGGATATATGCGCAAGCAAGACAGAATCGACAGCCGGGTGTACATAGCGCCCCAACTTACGTGTCTCTATCTTCTTCTCCCTCAGTCTGTGCTCCTTTTAGGTCTTGCAAGATAGTTTGCTGTGTCTCCGTGATCTGCCTGGCGACTGTGCTAGCGGTGAGCTGATCATCCTCGAAGTCTGTGTTCCTAGCACTCGCTCTAGTTCAACCGTCCCTTGGTGTCAGAAAAGCGCCTACTTCATCTCTCAGGTCACGCAAGATAACGTACTGGGACGCGGCCGCTTCCGAGTCATCGGCAGACTCCTGGCTGCTGTGAGCGCGAGCGCGAGCTTGTGTCTGCCGTGTGGTTCGCTTTGTCGGCCTGGGATCGTTATCGTTGTATTCTGAACTATTGCTGCCGGTCGCTTGGTGGTGTGAGTGCTTCAGCAAAATAATCCGCGAAATCTGTGCATTGGCTACCAATCTGAGTACCTAGGTACCTAGTCAGGTATTGGCCGACTTACTCTCGAGCAGTCGCTTTCTTCTTGGTGGCATATTAGAATTGCCTGCGGGTTTCTGAGGCCGGCTACGCGTTGTGAGGGGCAGGAGCCGGGAGACGAGTGATTCCCGCGTCAGGTGTTCGATGGAGGCTGTCGAACGTGATGGAAATGAATGTGCAGTCGATATATGGTAGGACCTGCTGGGGGATACCGTCATAACCTAAGCGTGCAGAGACAAGGCATCCAAACGGGAAGGTGCGGTTCAAGGCTCTCCTTGCGCAATGGATTTTCAGCCCGACTGATGGCATCACAAGCCAGGAAGGAGCAGACGGATGGCGATCCAACACTTACTTCCTTCGTAGCACCACCACTTGTAACACCGAGAAACACCAAGCATCAGCACGATAGGTCGAGAACAAAACAATAACTATTTTGTACCTACACGGTACCCTCCCCTTCTTCCTAACCCAGTCTAAATGCAAAGGGGCAGGACAAAATCTTTTAGTAATAGCCGAAGACAAAAGATAATCCAGTCGTACACGAGAAAAATTCCGGCTTCGCAAGAACCAAAACCCAGACAGTCCCTTTTGTAGTGTCGATATTACATCATGCTCGTGCCGACAGGTTTGAAGAAAGGGACAAGAAAACATGAGAGAAAAATAAGTCTTTCTATGACGAGCCCAATCTGCAACAAAATTGAAATCTCTCTGCAGTTCTTTCCATCCATGGTCATCATATCCCCAACCTGCGATAGGAAACAGAAAAAGAAGGAATGTCTGTGTCGGGAAGAAGTAAGAGGTGAAGCGATCTGCCCACCGCGGTGCCATGTCCAAGCGCATCATGCGTAGGGCTGCCGATGAAGGAGATAGGTGAAGGAGGGAGCGGCAAATTGGTGTAGTGCAAGATTTATGCGGTAAAAATCATCGTCGTGAGGTCGATCCCGCCGTCGTCCCGAGACACAGCGGCTAGAAGGCAGCGAAACTGGTTGATAGCTCCACAAGAGGACGAATGAAAGAAATGAGCTCATATTGTAGATTATGAGATGGCAGACATTCTGTATTTGTTTCGAGGGTCGTGTGGCGAGCCGAGGCCTGGTGGCCAGCCATGTGTGAAGCAACGATGCTTTACCTCGGTTCTGGTTGGAATAGTAATCTTGTATGCTGATTTTCTCCTGCGCTCTCAGGGGGAAGGGCGGGCGTTAAGGCCTAGATATAGAACGCGCAAGCGAATGCGCGAGATCCAGAAAGGGTATCGAGAGTCGTGGCAACGAGTGGGGTGAGCCTCTAGATCACGGTAGTGAAGGAGGTGGCCAAGAGCGCAGGCCGATTGATAATGTGGGCTTCTTCAAATCAGCGCGAGTTGAGGGACAAGCCCTGGAAAGAGGCAGTCATGTCGCCAGGTGCGACAAGCGGCGAGATTCCTTGGTCGTGCTGCCCAGCCCCGCCAGACTGCGGAGTCGGAAGACGGGTACGCATCGACGCATAGTCAACAACTCCCGGATGGAAGTTGGCTGGGTAAGAGTCGCCGGTAGGAACTATGCCCATCACAAAAGGCAGTCCCGTGCCCGTGGCAGGCCTGCCAGCGTTTGCGAAGGCATTGTAAGGAGCGTATTGGTAGCCAGAAGCTGCAGCATAGCCTGCTGTTGGCACGGCAGGCCGATCCGCACCAAACGGTTGAGGGAAGGCGGCAGCTGGTGACTGAAAGGTGCGGTTCGCCTGGGGCTCGGGCTGAGTGTTTTGCCGTCGGTCAGAGTTTGCACCGCCGCGGCCAACTCCAACTGCGCCAGGACCAATTCCGCTGGGCGCTTGCAACCCCAGCGGCTGGCTCGCAAAGGACGCCGGGTTGATAGCCGACATCCAGATCCGGGTTTTGTAGATCTTGAAGAGATCGGTCACCAGGGAGTTGAAGTTGATGTATGAATCAGCAAAGTAGTAGAAGGTCAACTTCTTCCAGTCCCTATCACATCAAAACGTGGCCTGTGTCAGTCTTTGATCGTGCGGGTGGAGGATTTGCGGATGTTGGGGGAAAAGGGGCCAGGGGCTTACATCTGGAACTCGGCGTCAAGGATCTCCATGTTGAGGCCATGCTCTTTGACTTTCTGCATGCAAACCCGCTTCGCCTTGGCTTCGTTGCCTTCTTTGTCCCGCAGCGCTTGGATCTCGTGGTTCTGAGCAAGCCTCTTGATAAGCTTGGGCTTCAGCTCGCCGGCGTTGGGCTCCTGCATGTGGTGCTGACCCGGAGGCCCCATGCCACCGACGGCGCTGCCCTGGAGGCCGTTGGACGCTGCCATGAGCCCCGCACCGACGCCATCCTGCGCAACGCCTGCATTCTGCGAGTACATCATGAGCCACTTGTAGTGTTCCTCGGCGAAGTGCTCCTTCTGCCGCTTTGCCTCGACCCAGTCGACATTATCGGCCGCCACGGTGCCGAGGTCAGTTCCACGGTCTGCTTCGACGATGACCAGATCGCCAGGCTTGACAGTCAGGCCCGTGCCATCCTGGATGTAGAAGACATCGGCCCTGGCACACTTGAAGAGGACGACGTGCAGCGGCGTCGACCGGTTCGGCTGCGTGATGCCATACATGGCTCGATGGGGCGAGGCAGGGCGGTTCGAGAATGGAGCATGCATCGCATACGAGTACGGACTAGCGAACGCATGATGCCCCACAATCTGCTGCTGTTGCGGAGCGCTCGCCATGTTTGCAGCGCCGGTGAAATAGGATGCTAGCGGAGTCAGGTTAGCAGACGCCCTTCGCGGACAGAGGCAGAGGGAACTCGACCATTCGATTTGAAACTTACCGTGGTTCGTAGCGGGGAACGTAGGATTTTCGGGAAACGGCGAGTTGAAATCCTGCGCAGACTGCGGCTCCTGTGTGAGCCCTTCGTGGGCCAGGACCTGGTCGGCAAGAGAGCTGATTGATGGCTGCCTTTGCGGGACATCGGCAAAAGAATGCCTCCGACTCTGGGGAAGGTCACCGAGACCACCAAAACCCAGGGAGCTCTGCCAATAGGCCTTTTTGACGTTCTCCAGCTTCCTGTTTTCCACGGTGAACGGCGAGCGGAAGTGAGGGGCACCCACACCATACTCGCTCATCCGCCGACCCAGCGCTCTTCTGGCTGCAACATCGCTTCCGTCGTATGACTCATCCAGCTCATCGATAGCATAGTCCAGCTCCTCTGTCACGGGCGCCTGGATACCGTATCCATTGCCCAGACCATACCCGGTAGATGCTCTAGGTCGCAAGCGAGAGTTGTGATATTGCTGCTGCTGCTGTTGTTGCTGGTGCTGCTGTTGGTGGTGGTGGTGCTGCTGCTGGTGCTGCTGGTGCTGTTGCTGCTGTTGTTGCTGCTGCTGCTGCTGCTGTTGTTGTTGCTGCTGCTGCTGCTGTTGTTGTTGTTGTTGTTGTTGTTGTTGTTGTTGTCGGAGAAGCTGATTCTCCCTCGTCAGCATCTCAATAGTCCTGTCAACGGACTGGTGCTGGCTCCCTTGCAAAGATTCACCACTCTCCTCATCGTCGTCGTCGACCTCCTTAACCTTGCCCAGCATGCCTTCATTCGACATCTCACTGAGCATGCTAGGCCGTGAGGGGCGGTGCTGGAGTCCAGAGTGCGGGATCGGCCGAGACCGGCCACCCAGGATGGCCGAGCCGCCCATGACACCTGTCGTCGAGTCAGGATCGAGCTGGCCGACCGAGTAAGATTGCGATCGATACGTCTTGGGCGTGGGATGCAGAGGGATAGCGAAGGGTATTTGTGAATTCGGAGCATCCCTGGGTCCCGGAGAGGTCTGAGGCGGACCGACTTCGGACGCGGGAAAGAAAGAGCCGCTAGACCCTGGAGGATGGAGCGAGGTTGGCGAAGGCAGAACTTCGGAGAGCCTCGAAGGCGGCTCCTTCCTCTCCGTGTTCCATATGGCCGTGCCCCAAGAAAAGGCGCTCGAGGCCGTATGGGCACGACTCAAGACGGCTGGGTTGGGATGAGAACCCCAGGCGCCACCAGCACCAGGCTCGACCGAGGGGGTGCTCGGGTGGGAAGCCGTGGGAGACATGTTGCTGCTGGCAAATGAGCCTTTCCTGGGGCGGCTAGCACTCTGGCTCGTGTCGTTCAACCACGACGCCCTGCGAACGGGCTTGTGCTGGGGGATGGACGGATGGGGTTGGTCCTGGCGGTTCTCCGCTTCGTCCTCGGAGCTGGCCAGAGCCTCTGAGTCAGGGGTCGCCCGTCGATGCAGTTTGTCCAGCAAGCCGTTTGCTGTGGCCGCAGTGAGGCCTACGGCGCCTTTGGACGGGGCACCGGTCTTGAGCGTGCCGGAGCTCATCGTCAGTGAGGGGTACAAGGTGACGCGCGAAGGGACGACAGCGACGCCTCATGCACACCAGATCCTCTCGAGAAAAGGATGGTTTCGTCCCGGGACGCACGGCTGCTCGCCGGGACGGTTGTCAGGCAGCAAGGATGCCCGATCACGCAGTTTACGCAGCCCGTGCTCTCGGACGGGGGAATGCGGATGGTGCGTGCTTGTGTCTTGCGTGCTTTGCGTGACGGCGAGGATGATGGCTCCACAGCCAAGAATTATGATGGATGAGAGTGGTTACCAGGTCTGCAGCATGGTCGGTCAGCAAATGAGCTTGGGCGCGACGGTGGGATTGCTGTATCCGCAGAAAGGGCGCCAGGGTGTGCTGCGTTGTCGCTGCGATGGAGCGAAACGAGAAAGCCAAAAGCGCGAAGCGGGCACCGGCAGCCAAATTGGAGAGGGGCTCTAATTTGCCGCCGCATCGGCCTTCTGGCAACCGTCGACTGACGGGATTGCCCGAGCGACCGTGGCAAACCGATTCCCGCGCACCCCGGCATCCCCAGACCATTGCGCACTTGCCCGGCTGGGTGCGGCATCTGCCCTGCTTGAAACATCGCTTGCGTGCAGCCTCAGATCCGTTTCTAGTAGCCGCCGTCTGCGCCGCCCAACGAGAACCGCCTGTTGCGTGTGGCGCCAACTTGGCAGGCCGCGCGCACACGAAACCCCACGAGATCCAACTAGCTAGACGGCGGGGGAGTGGCCATCGCAATGGGAAGGGTGTGTCGACAAAAGAAGCAGCAGACCTACCAGTCGATGTGCAGATGATCCAAATCTATAGGCCGCGGGGGGTATCTGAAAGAAAGGGACAGTCTAAGATGCTTGAGGCCGTCGGGCGCGTCGTTCGTAAAGATGAAAATAAAAGAAGAATAAGTAATGCACCCTCGTTGCGTCGGCTCCAGGAAACGCCGCTGTCTTTGTTTCCTTTCTTTTTTTAGGCTTGCGAGCCTAGGCCTACTCGCGTCGGTCGTGTGTCGTACGTCGTCAGAAGTGTGGGGCGTCGTCGATAATTAACATGGACAGTCGTAAGGTCCAGGTCGAGGCGCGGAAAAGGGGAATAGCGAGGTAAAGGAAGAAAGATAGTATGTAGGGAGGGAGGTTGGGTGGAAGGGGAATCGAAGGAATTACGGCGGGAAGTCGCTGTAAGGGGGTATAAAATCGCCCAAGTCTAAAAGCCTGCCTCTAGAAACCCACACGATTCTCTTGGAAAGGTATTTTTTTTCTCGTTCTTTTTCTTCTCGCTTTATTTTTTCCTCCTTTTTCCTTTTCCTTTCCTCAATTAGGTGGGCGCCCGGGCGAAATGGATGAGTGAGACGGAGTGGGAAAAGGTGGAACAAAAAGAGATGGTCGGGTAGAATGCGGCCTCGCCTTGTACAGCAGCTCCGGCTTTTCTTTGGGCCACGACGGGTTGCAACGGAGCTATGCGTGGCCCATTGTTGGCGCCGGCTGATGGGCTGTCGCACTGGGCTGTCGGGCTGGGAATGGATCGAGGTTGCAGCGCAAGCTTGGTTGTCTGACAAGGATAGTGCCAAAAAATTTTTTTTGGCAAGGCAAGCAGTTGGGCGCGCCTCGTCGCTCCGATCTAGGACAGCCGGAGTCTATTGACACGCGCGCACTCCAGATCGATGGTCGGGCGGCACTGGGGAGGCTAGCACTGGATGGGGATTCGAGGGCGAGAGGGAGAGAAGCAGATAGGCAGGTTTGCGAGGTCGGGGTCGGGTATGCAGAGTCGACAGGAGCGTCGGCTTTAGCTCAGCAGCGCGCCGCTAATAAAGAAACAACAGCTGGCGCGGGCTTGGAGTTTGGGGTGGGCGGTTTAGAAAGAGGGGTTGCTCTGCCTGGGTGTGGTGGTCTGTGTTCTTCAATGTCCAATGTGGCTGCGAGGGGTCGGCTGTATCAAAGCCTGAACGCTGGGGCAACCACGTTCTGGGGTGTGGGTTTTTCTGGAAATGTTTCTGTTTATGCGACGCCTCGCTGATTGGCCGCAACCTCTGGATCGCTGCGGGTGACACTGACAGGATGTGGATGCGGATGCCGTTGATGCTGCCAGTGTGTTGGTCGCCGAGGCTGCTATCGGCTGGCGAGGGAGATTGAATGCCCTGACAAAAAAATGCTCGAGGCGACGACTTCGCGGTTGGTCCTCGAGAGTGAGACGCATCAAGGATGAGCCTAGATGCGGAGTCGGGGAACAAGGCTGAGCAAATCGGGGGAGGAATGTGGAAAGAAGATGAAGAAAAAAAGAAAAAAAAAGAGAGCCGAATAGATGGGCCTGGTCAGAAAAGGGTAAGGACCGAGAGAGGGCTTGCCTTGAGATGACCAGGTGAGGAGAACGAAGTGGATAAGATTCAGGCGAGGCCGCCTTGGACGACGGGCAGGTATGGAGGTGGTGTCTCGTCTAGGTGTGTGTGCGCTAGGATGCCCCTCCAGCTGAGGCCGTCTGTCTCTCTAGCGTGCGTGTTCTCCTCGCCGCGTGCTCTCTCCGCAATGCGCGATGATGCTGTCGGCGTGCTAGCTTCTAGATATTATTTCTTAATCTTGCTTTGCTGCCAGCAAGCGGGTTTGTGCGCGTCCTCTGCCCTTTTCTTTCTCCGCCTCCAGCACCAAAAGCTTCAAGCCATCGCAGGACGTCTGGCTTGGCTGGAGTGGCGGGAAGGGAGGGTGCAATAAATGGATTGATTACATCCACCCGTTCCCCACCCGACCCGTCTTTGCCTCCTTGATCTGGCCCACTGAGGGGCTGAGCTTGCCCTGCAGCAGATTCAAAAGGGTCACAAGGGGGGTGAGCCGCCAACTTTCAGGCCCTCTGAATGGCTCAAACCAAGGGCAAACTTTTCCCAGCTCGCCTCCAAGCCATGATGCGCCTCGCTGCCCGCTCACACCCCAGTCGAATCACATCATCGCAGCTTTTATTCTTTTCCTGCCAGAGCTGGGGCCGGGGTCTACCTGTACCTGTATCTGCCGCTAGGCTTAAGACGTTTGACTACCCAGACACTAAGCTTCGGGTTTGGGAACATCAGCCGGCTATCGTTCTCCTTTTTGCGCGGCCTGAGTGCGAAGGACAAAGCCGTCGTGATCTGCCCACCCTGCCTACCACTTGGTGACGTCGAAGGTACGCAAGCACCACCTATACACAGTATCGTCCGCAGGCGAAGGCTTGGATGTAGGTATTCGGTATGCCTGGGCAGGGCATGCTTCACCTCCGTCCCCTCATTTTTCTAGATCTGTCGGCACCCATCTCGGCCCTGGGCAGGCGAAATGGCGAGTACGCCACAGACTGGACACCAAACGGGTGCGGCTCTTTCGGAGGCATGGCCGTCGGCCTGGCTCTCCATAATGCCTAGTCGGGTACCACCGATCCGTCGCGATGTCTGTTAACCTAGCAAGGTTGTCTACCTTAATTCAGAAGCTCACCTCTGCCTGATCACGGACAGCGCCGATTCTAGTGGGTCACGCCGTTTGCTCGACAGTCGACGTGCATCGCGCGCACGGATATGTGGGCATCGACCCTCCCTCTCTCCTCTCGGGCATGGCCCTGGATTGATGAACACTATACAGTACATACAATCTTGCTGCTTTCAACACCATAAACTTCAACCATCTGGTCTTTGACCGGCCGGGCGTGGTCCAGATACAAGAATCACAGAGGGGCAAGCAAGACGAGATGGGCTGATCTGGTCGGCTCAAGAGGCCGGCCTGGAGGACGGCCCATCGTCAAGAGCGCAGGAGGAGGGAGGGGGACCCCGGCACTTGCAGGAGGAAGGGCCCCCTATGATCTGCATCATGGTAACGTGAACCCATCGAAGCGGCGCCCCTCGCGGCCGCTGATACGCCGGAGGAGACGCCGCGCTGCCGTTTGGTGCATATGCAGCAGGCAGGAAAAGGAGGCGATACCCTCGCTCCATACGATATGCACAAGGGGATTTTGTATACGTACGCCGAACACGCCAATCCCCGTGTGCATACGGCTCTATCGACGCGCATGATGAGGAGGCTGCAGCTGCAATGGCAGCTGCAACGGCACAAACAAGGCCCCGAAAGACACCCAGGCCCGCGCCTCTTTCTTTGGCAAGGTGGCTTCGCGCAACCCTGGCACCCTGGTGGTTGTACATACCATGTACGGACTGCACTCGACTGGGCGCGGCACGTCGTGTCTTGTCACCCCCTGGGAACAAGAGCGCACAAGCACTGGCAGACGCTCGTGGCCCGATGAGGGGTGGGGCCGCCGGGGATTAACGACATCGAGATGGACGTTCGGCACCGGGATTCGCGAGCAACTTGCGATCCATGTTATGGATCGGATGGTCGCCCAAACCTGGGTGCCTAGCTTTGCTCACGCTGCCTTTGTCGTGGCAATGTTGGCCGCCTTTCCCGTCGGGCTACTATCCTATAGCTGCCACATTCTGGCTGGCGAGGCCAAAGAGAGAGGAGGGCTCCTCGCGACGCCGCAACACACAGCCACATCACGCGCCTATTTTCTTTCCCGGGGGCGTCGTGCCAAGAAGTGAAGAGACACACAAAGCATGCTTCTTGTCGGGTGCGCCGACGGCAGACGCATTGACGAGATGCACAGCAGCGGGGTTACGGTGGTGGTAGCGGGTGGGAGAGGCCATTGTTTTGCATGAAGCGGATGGAGAGCTGGGCTTCATTTTGTGTGCAGCACGAGAGGGGGTGGTGGGAGTGCAATTTGGTCATCCCGGTCTTGACGAGCTCCTCTTTTTCCCCCGCCTCTGTCCGAGGGAAATTGGTGGCCGAGAAGGAATCGAGGATGGTCCCCTCCCTTATTTTCCCGCCAGAGTCCAGCTCTGCGATAAAAAAAAAAATGTAGAAAGAACGACACAGCGTATTTGTATGTGTGTGTGTGTCGCTTCGTGAAGGCTAAAATGGGGGGCTGGGCACCCCCGCCCAGCGCAGCCAGAGCTTCGTGATGCGGGAAGCTGATCCTACTCCGATTGATGCATCGCTGGCGGGTCCTGGGGGGCCGCGACGGCCCCAGACCAAAGCAGATGAGAATCCCCGAGCCACCACCTTGAGGTTGTCCTGGGGCGCCACCTGATATCGCGAGTGTCCCAGCCACCTCACCTCAAAGGCCAAAGAATCTGCTCTAAAAAGAGAAGAGGAAAATAAGAACAGCGAATGCATAAACCCCGAATATAGCGAAAATTGCAGTAGGAATAACGGTTGGTTCTCGCCGCTTGTTCCGTTTCCATCTTCCATCCTCATCCCCTCTTCCCGCTTTGGAGCCTTACCCCGGATTCTCGTCAGCGCCCACTCGCTGTCCAATTGGCGCCCTCCGAGGATTCATAGATTCACGCCCCTAGCTTCCCGCCAAGGAGCTTGACAACGGCTGACATTTTGACGAACAAACATTGGGAGAGCACCAAAAAAAAACCCCCAGCAAAATGAGAAAGGAGGAAAGGGAAAAAAAAAAAAGCTTGGGGATGGGCGTCTAGGTGTACGCGAAACCCACCCTTCCTCGCTTCCTCGTGGTGCCCTGCAGTAGCTCGGCCATATGGCTGAATTGGCTTCTGCAGGCGCAATGCATGACACATGAATGTGCGAGCTGCAATGCCCGTCTTAAAGACCCCCGAGCCGCGGAGAACCCACAGCACGTGGTGTCCAAACCAGAATCACCATTTCCGCAGGGCGCCAATAAAGCACAGTTTCTCTCGTACACAGCACGCATTCTATCTATCCAAGCGCCATGCGCGTCCCCCGGTTGCACGGTGAGTGTTATTTTAACCAGGGACCGTGTCCAGGCTTCCCTTCCCGACCGTCGAAGGGGGAACCTCGCCCTTCTGAGCCTTCAACTTCTCCTCGAACTTGGCAAACTCTTTCGCTGCGACCTCCTCCTCCGGGTCTAGAATCTGGATAACGCCTTTGACCTCCTCAATCTGCAGAGACACGTGACAGTCAGAATAAGAACGGAAAACACGTGGGCCGGGGAACATGCCTGCGCTGTGGCGCGCTGGTCGGGCTCGACACGGGTGGTTGCTTACATAGTGCATGAGCATGCCCTCGATCCCGTTCTTGAGGGTGACTGTGCTCGAGTCGCACGTCCGGCAGGCGCCGCGGAGCTTCAGCAGGACGTTGCCGTCCTCGAAGCCGCGGTATTCGATGTCGCCTCCATCCTCCTGGATCGCGGGCCTGATGCGGGTCTCGAGCAGCTCCTTGATCATGCCCACGACCTCGCTGTCGTTTTCGTTGTAGCTGAGGCTGTCCTGCTCCCCGGATGTCTCCTGCGCGTCCGGCGCCGCCCCGGCCTCGCGCTCGACCACGTTGACGATCTTTTGCCCGGACGTGATGGCCTCGGTGATGAGCGAGAAGACCTCGGGCCGGATGTGGGCCCAGTTGGCGTCGGGCGCCTTGGTCACGGTGATGAAGTCCGTGCCGTAAAAGACCGAGATGACGCCGTCCACGTTCATGAGCTGCGCCGCAAGCGGCGACGGGTAGGGGGGTGCGATGGTCGACCGCGGGTTCAGGTACTCGATGAAGGGTGTCGAGATGCCTTCGGGGAGAATCTGGTGGTTCGGCAGGAACTTGAGCGCGTCCGGGTTCGGCGTCGTTTCGTTCTGAATGAAGATGGTCCGCCTCCCGCGGCCCGCGCCGCTCAGCTGCTCCCAGGGCGGCCGGTGGTGGGCGGGCCGTATCCTGGGTCTTTGCGACGACGGCGCGAAAACAGACGATAATGCGCCGGTATGCGCGGCGCGCTTGGTGGCGAGATCGCTTAAGCTAGGGAGGCGGTAGGTCCTCACCGGCCGCGGGCGCGACAGGACCAGGGCGGAGGTCCGCAGGAGCTTGTTCGTCATGGCGATGAGGGGCTTCTGACTGGGGCCTTGTTGGTAGGTGTCGGGTTGGAACAACGATCGAGACAGGTACTCTAAACGAAGGTACGGCACATGGCCGGTGGAGAATAGGATAGGATAGAGCCGCAAGCAGCAGGAAGATATGTTGGTTATTCAGCCAAGACTCGATTCGCCGCCGAGTGACAAGATCTCCGACCGAGCCGACGGCGAAGAAAAAGTCAACGGGCGAATGGCGATAAAGGAATTTGCGTCATATTCCCAGGCGACAAGCCTCCGGCCCCACAAAGCCCTCGCTCCACCCATGGTCTGTGTTCTCATCAAGATTGGCGGGCGGCACCAACTTTTTTTTTTCCCATGTCCTTGGCCGTCAAGTCCCCGTCATCCGACACGCGGTGCCAGCTGCACTTGCTGATTGGCAACAATTCTCCAGTGCGGTTCAGGTTAACCTCAAAGTCGCACAATTATCCCTCGTTTCCCCCACCCCCGACGCCGCGCCGTCGTGCGACAGCAATCATGTCTACGTCCCCGACGAACGGCATCTCGAAGCTAACCGTGGAAGATGGAGAGGTCAATGGCGCCGGCGGCAATGCTGCTGCCGCTGCCATCGCTACTGCCGCTGCGACCAGCGCTGTGAACGGTGATGTCGGTGGGGCAGGCGGCTCCCAGACTGCACCCGACGCTCCGACGCGCTCGAGGGGATTCCGTGGCACCAAGAGCCTCTGCGGCGTCTGCAGCAAGCGTGAAAGCAGTTACAAGTGTCCGCATTGCGCTGTTGCCTAGTGAGTTCCTTGCGCCTTTATCACCTTCTTCGATATGACCACCTTCGCCTGGTTCTGGGGCGTCTCCGGGGCTAACACAATATCGCTCTTCAGCTGTTCCGTGGCCTGCTCGCATGTTCACCGCGTAATACACCCAGAGACATCGCTACCCCCAAAACCCCCACAACCGGTTCGGCCCGGTGGCGCGCAGCCCCCGAGGCCCGCGCATAAGCAATCACAACAGGCTTCTCACCCTTTCAGCGTCCTCGACGACTCACCCGAGTTGAGGAGACTGTTCAAGAAATACCCCGGCCTACCCTCCGCCCTTGAGGGAATCCACGAGGCCACTCTCCCTCCGAAGAACGCCCCAACCGGGATCCATGCCATGATTGACGCCACCCGCAACAAGAAGCAGGAGCCGTGGTCGCCTGACGTGGGCCTGCGCCGCGGTCGCGCCGCGCTGCGCAAGGCCCGAACGGACCCTGGCGAGGACGGCGACGGCGTCCGGGAGTACTGCGAGCTTGTCCGCTACCTGCTGTCGCGATCCGATGGCGACGGCAAGGTCAACGACATTGTCCATCACGAGGTCGTTCAAGGGGACGTCAAGGTCATCCGGAATCTGCAACAACAGGAGTGGACCGACTAGCGAATAAAACCTATCTATACACACAAGCGGCGTTTGAAGCAAATCCACGAACGTCTGCTGACCTCGACAATTCGCGTCCAAAAAGAAACATGGCTCTTGCGAAGATGTCGTTCATGGCAGCCACCCAACCCGATGGTTGATCGGCCCAAGGTTGTGACCGGCAGCCAGCGCAAGGAACCGGCGCAGACACGAATGATGCACGACTCACGAGAAGCTGGGTTGGAAATTTGTGAAGGATATTAATGTATTAAATGTAGGGTTTCCAGCGCCCGATCTTTTGCTTATCTGTGGCACGAGAGGAGCTAACGCCTGAATCTAGAGAAGAATCCACCTTTGGAAGGCTTGGATAGCTCGGGCGCCTCATCGATGGCGCCATCGATGGCTACCCCCTTCTCTCCACGACCATGTTTAGAGTCTTTATTCCCAAACCTGCCGCGGAGGGTCCATATCGAGCTTGGTCGCTTCAGGAGCGGCACGGTCCTGGCCCTCTGGATCGGCTTTGTCTCATCGCTTTGGGTCCAGTCGACGCGGTGTTCAGCGGCGTCCTGTGAGGGATAGTATTTGGGTGGCGGAGAGTCCTCGCGGCCACCCGGCGAGGCCGGGGGCATTGGCAGCACGTGGCGACCGTCGCCCGAATCCTTTTCCCGACACTCCAAGAAATCACCCGTGCTACTCCTCCTGTTCTTCTGGGCCTGTTGATTGTGCTGGTGATGATGGTCCGGGCCCCCGCCCAGGGCGCCCGTGAAGGTGTGGCGGTGGCTGCGGATCTGCTGGGCGGCCTGATCCCTCTCCTCCTCGGCCTCGGCGGCCTCCTCGAGTATACGCGTGCGCTGGAACTGGTTGCGCTCGTGCAACTGCTCGCGCCTGCTCTGGGCGCGCCGCAGCGCCTTGGTCTGCTCGGCCGGCGGGGCGTTGGGGTCGACGTGGTCGGCCTCGAGGTGGAACTTGAGCGCGTTGCGTGACAGCTTGTGCGTCAGGCCGCCGCCGCCGCCGCCGCCGCCGCTCATGTTGATGGCGGTGGTGGTGAGGGCGAACTGCGCGGCCGCCTCGCGCGGAACGTACGGCCCGCCGCCCGCCGCCTCGTCCGGGCGCGCCGGATCCCCCCTGAGGGCCGCCCTCGACGTCTTCCTCTTGGCCTTGTCCAGGATCGACATGGACTTGCGGATGACGAGCCCGCGCGCGGACGGGGCGGACGGCGGCGACGTCGACGAAGACTTCCCCTTGGCGGCGGCGGCGGCGGCGGCGGTGGCCTTGGCGGCGTGTTTCTTGCGCTCTGCGTAGGCCTTCTGGTCGGCGAGCACGAGGTGCAGGCGGCGCGACAGCTCGGCCGGGTCCACGGGCGCCCCGGGGCCCGGTCGACCCTGCTGCGGCTTTCCCGGCCGGCGGACGCCGCCGCCGACGGGGCCGCCCAGCGGCCTGCCCTTGGTGTTGTAGTTCATGGTGATTTGGTTGTGCATGTGCATCCCACACGCGCACAAGAAAAAGCACCGACCGGGGGTGGTCGGTCACACAACAGGCCTCCCGCGTCTCTTTCAGCCTAGAGTTCCACCACAGAATCGCGGGAATGCAAAAAAAACGCCAGGAGTACAAGATGGGGCGCGCTGGCTTGCGTAGGTTCAGGCAGTTTCGTCGTGGAACATGGAAGAGCTGTAGGTTCGACAGGCAGTCCCCTGAGCAGATAAAAGAATGATCTCCGGGATTCTGCAGGGGCGGAGGTGCTTGAAGGCGGCTGTGTGGAGGAAAAGACGAAACAAAGGAACGTTGTCCTTGTTCAAAGGTTCGGAGGAATAGCAAGTAGAGCTCGTCTCGGACAAAGGACGACGTCTTGCTGGTTTCGGAGATGGGCGGTAGGCATGTAGGGAGATGCAAGGTTGGCGTGTGTGGTAGGTATTTGTGTGTGGTGTGTGCGTGAGTTGTGTGTGCGTGCAACAGATCGAAGCGCCAAAGTCAGGAAAACGGCACCTAACGCCCTTTTCAACCCTGGCCGCAAAATGTTTCTCCGGCACTGAGTCGACTTCCCGTCTCTGCTTTTTTCTCTGGTTTCCCCCAAAGTCCAAAAATAAAAAAATAAAACAGGGAAAGCAGAGACGAGCAAGGACAGAAGCAGGAAATAAAAATGCAGGTGGGTAAAAAAGAAGTGGAAGCAAGCCGGCAAAAGATCGCAGGGTGTGATCAACCACCCCCAAGACGAGAGAGACCGAGCTAGCCTGGGGCCCCTCGGGACAAGGGGGGTCAGGCCGGACTGGTCGGTTCGGGGTGTGTGGGGATGGGTGATGACGGGGGTGGGCGACCGAGGCGAGAGGAGGGTAGCAGAGATGGGACTCAATGTCGTGTGAATGTGGAGGAGAATTGAGGCTTCCGGACCAGGGATAGGCCCCGTACGCACGAGGAGCGGGTGACGGCGCCATCCCATCCACATGTTACCCTCGAATACTAGGTAGTAGCCCCGTTTGAGAATACAACTTTCGAAAGGGGGAGGAGGGGAGGGTAGGTAAACAGTGACTTGCGTTTCCGCTACAGAGTTATGAAGCTGTCCGGTTCCCGACCATCCAAGGTTCGGAGCCATTGCCGCTCGGGTAAAAGTGAAAAGACCAGTGTGCCGGATAGAGTGACATGACGCCCAGGTCTCGGGAGCCCGTGTTTTGGCACTGGTATTCTCTCAACGCTCAACAGCCCTCGGGGCGGGGAAGTGGTTGGCTATTATAATGCGTCCATGTGGGCTCTGTGGCCCCCAGGGACCACCACATTGCAGTCGGTGTCTATACATGATAATGCCGCAACATTTCTGCTTCCTTTTTCTTTCTTTTCGACTTCCCCCATTTTGTGCCGTTCCCTACCAATAGTGGGTTTGTTCGGACGGGTCCGACTCAGCCTTCCTCATCCCGATTATTTTCGAGGCTGTAAATCTGGGATGATCCCGATTCCGGTCACGAACCGTTGCCGGTTTGCAGGGACACGGGTGACAAGGCGCCTCGAACGGCACACACACATACAAAGAACATGATCAAAAGAAGGAAGGGCGCGCGAACAGAACTGGAAGGGGAAAATGGACACTGACTCCTGGGAACAGCACCAGCCAATAAGTTGACGGCACTAACACCCGGTTGACGGCACGTTCTGCCCCGCTCGGTGCTCGATCCAGCAGCGCATCCATTGGCAAAGGAAAAAAAAAATTGAAAAATGGCGGGCTAGGCTACGCTTGCGAAGGGGTGTTCGGTCACGGCACACAAAGTTTGTTAGCGTCAAAAGGAATTAAGCTCATGTCTCGATCTGGTTTTTGCCTTGCAGCCGTCCGTCCGAGCGAGCGAGCGAGCACCGTGCGGCGAGCCGAGATGACGAGTATGGAGACGTGTTTGCAAACAGGTACAAATACCGAGACGACAAGAAGAAAGACAATAAAAAAGAAAGAAAAAAAACACGAGCAGCGACAGACAAACATGCCAAAACGAGGCGGCAATGTCCGCCCGGCAACTCGTGACTCTCCCCAGGGATGCGCCCCCTCCTGACCTGATCCTCTCTCCCTCCGATCCACCGCCCAACCAGCAGGTTTTCATTCCTCCAGTTTCCCTCGTGCCCGTGGGGTCTGCCCAATGAAAGTCGGTCAACCGGTCTGGGGGCAAGGGTCGCTGCAGTGGATGACGTGCATCCGTGCTAGCGATGGCGCCGTTAGGTCGGCGCTAGGTATGGAAAAGGGAGACCAGGATTAGGGGAACGGGGGGAGGGCTGGCCTGACCGTTGAGAAGCGCCGTGATTGACGGCCGCTGGTCTGGCCGCGGGCACATTCTCTTCCTAGGTGCCCGTTTGAACAGAAATGAAGGCCACCCTTTTTTTTCTTCTTCTAGCGGGTATAACTGTCGGCCTGACCACACAGACACACCTACGTGCTTGTGTAGGAGCATGCAGGCCACTTGCCGACATATGCTTTATCCGCAGATGGGCACAGGCAGGTCAGGTAGGGATCTTGTAAGCAGGCCCGGGCCGGTCTGCACAATATCATGTACGATGTGTTGTGGCAGCAAGTCCCAGCTGTTGTGCGTTTGGCCGCATTTGCGGAGTTCTCTTGGCCGGAGTCTGGGAAGAAGCGCCGGCCAACCAAAGGCCGCCACTCGGGCTGATGGAGCAACGCTCTTTGAGACGGACGCACAGATCGATGCATGCAGTTCATGGCACGGCGCAATATGTAGGGTGTGCAAATGCTTGCATACATGTACTTGTTCATGACAACTAGAAGGCCAAGCACAAAATTGAATAATAAATGACGGATCGATACAACTCTGCCGCTTAGCGCCGCCGCCAGGTCGAATGGTACGCAGCCGGGGTGTCATGCATGCGGACAAAAGTAATATTGACGCGCACCGGGATTCTCGTATTCGACTCCTGCTGCTTTGCCTCTGGTGGGCTTCTTCCAATGACGCATGGTATTTGCAGGTCCGCCTTTCCCAACCACTCAATACGTGTAGACAACATGTGACTTGGGAATCTGCGGCGGTAGCTTGATTCGGTGGTCTGCGCCTTTCCCTTTTGCGGCTGGGCGTTATGGATCCACAAGCTACTTGCAGTTCGAACCGTCAGGCAACGTTCGGGAACATCCTTGGATCCACAACAGCCAAGATCCTTGTTGCCTGCATCACCGTTGTTCCTTTCTGTCTCTGCCTCTGCTTCCTTCATCTATCCTCCTTCCCTCTTTGCCCTACGTAGCCCACACGCATCTCCGGCGCCATCTCCGGCCCCAGCCTCGGAAAAACAAACATCCCACAAGACGTACAAAAGATGCGATCCAGGAATCTACACCTGCCAACCTAGCGCACCTTGGTAAACAGTAGTCGCTCTGTCTGGCCATTCCAACACACACCATTGCCTTGCGCGCGTGCAATCCCCACGAGCTACCTGTATTTAAACTATACCTAGCGCGCCCACGCAGAGACATCGAGGGGAGCTCGCCGACACTCTGGAGAAAATCGAGTCAGCTCCTGCGGTGAGTTCAACCCCTCCCACCCAGCCAGGGAGCCAATTCGGCCCATGGGGGTAGGGATAGATGATCTCACTCATGTTCTATGCCTTGGCCGGTCCGATCAACAGATTGAGAGAGTCAGGGCGGAGGAGTAACAGCGATGGACCTGGCAGGACCTACCGGGCCATTCCCCGGACCAAGGCTGTCAGCGGCCGACGTGGAAGCCCGAGAGAAGCTGAGAAGGAAAAGAAGGACGGATAACAATACAAGCTAGATAAGTACCCACCCGGTAGAAGTAGAAGCTGCGGCATTCATGGATGCCCTCGTCCACGGGCGGGACACGGGCGGGAATGAGAAAAACGGGAAGGGATACCCCCTCCATTCCACTTCACCGTTATCCCGCGATGCCTCGCAGGGCGGCCGGGCCTGTCGGATGATGGGCGGTGTGGTTCTGTCGGGCCATCGCGGAAGAGGACGGTGGGGCCCGCGAGATGGCCTCATCTGGGTGCGCATCCGCATGCCCCCGTGTTCGTCCCCACTTTGCGCCTCGACAGAAAGCGGCCTGGCTTGCAAGGGACCCGGATGACGGGCGTTGTGATGGGAGGTGGCTCGGCGACACGGAAGCCCGAAGGCAAGGGGGCCGCCCGCTGGGCATATAGGGACGAACGAGCCGGGGGTTTGCGCATTGTGTCTTCGCCGTCTGCGCCGCGCTCTCGGCGCTTTGTTTATCGCTCTATTGTTGGAATCTGGGCAATCACACACACAGGAAGAACGCCGGCGCCATGGATATGCCGGCGAGCTCGGGCACGCCACTCGCTCAATCCCGTAGCCCAGTTGTGGTGGCCGGTTTGGGAGGCATTGGGGGCGGGATTTGGTGATTGTGTGCGGTGGTGAAAGTCACCAGAGCATGAGGCCGCCGTGGTGGCATAGAACCAATTGGCTGGATTGCCACAATAACAGTTGATGTTTCGAAGCGGCGCGTTTTACCTGCGGCTTGCCCGAAGCAGAAGCCTTATTCCACCCCGGGAGAGCTGGAGGGTCCAGGCGGCATCAGCGCGTGTCCGAGGCGGCACCTAATATTTGGTTGCGCCGCGGCCCGAGATCGACACCAGAGCGCGACGGCACCTCCGTGACGGCCTCTCATCTCCTTCTGCTCCCACGCTCGTCCTGCTTCGCAGCGCTGATGATGCGAGTTCTCGCGGTCGGGGTGGGCAAGGCCCTGCGGGGGTGCTGTTTGACAGCGTTACATTGAGGCGAAAGAACGGGAAGGGCGAGCGGTACTGTGTAACCTCAAATTGAAAACACCACGAGGTGATAGTGACACACAGCCTGGGGCTCGCACTGGCCGCCTTCTGCTTCGCGCCCCAAAACACCAGCCGGCCGATGGATCCCCAAGGGCCCTTGGGGCTGGCGGCGAGCCCATTCCGCATTCGCGCCGCCACTTCTGGCTCCCTTGCGCCCGCTGCGTTCCTGCGGCGCCGTTATAAACATCGGGTCGAGTCGCTGTCTGACCCGCCCCGAGGCTGCATCACCGTAGCACTGCACACATCAAAATCGATCTTGGTGTTGAAACACCCATCTTGCACGACAACGAAGCTCACAACCGATGCGGGTGTGTCTTTGGTTGGAGGTACCTCTAGCTTTGCCACGTGCACCGTCCTTGCTCCAACAGCTCTGACTCGAGCTGCAACCCCGGCCGGCAAAGCTCAACTCCCAGCAACCGCCCAACAACGACGCCAGCGCGTCCTAGCGCTAGCGCCACCAGCAGCGTGCTGCGAGCGTGCGCAGGTGGAGCCGGACAAGCATTTGATTGCACCACCGGCCACCAGCACCCGCAAGCTTGACTAGCACAGGGCCCTTGACTCCCCCCCCGTCAACACGCGCGAGCAGCCCAGGCGCCGCGGTATCGTTTCGTGGTTTTGCGCCTTGCTCCTGGCTTGCAGTGGAAGGAGGAGAGCGCACATCGCCACAATCGCCGACGCCCTGTGCTGCCCGCGTGCCTCGCCTCGCGCGCGCTGCTGTGCCGCCATATCGCAGCGGCTCGACGACCGAGTAGGAGATCAGGAAAAATAAAGAAAACGGAAAAAGCAAAAAGGCTTGTCGGGGACCTCCTTTGTCCTCGCCCCGCCACGACACCACGGGCAGCCTTCCACAAAGCGCTTGCAAGCGCCGCGCCCACCGCCCACCCAAGCAAGCTGGACCATCGAAACGCAGGAAACACCCCGAAGCCGCCGCCGATCAGGGGACGTGGGAAAGAGGCAAGGACGCTGGGCGAACGAGAAGTTGAGGCTGCCGCCTATCCCATGTAAGTTTCTCGTGCCAGCTTCCCGAGCTACCAATTGCTGTCCTTTGTCCTGCGCGCACCGAGCCCGTGTCGTTTGTGACGGCCGCGCCCCTCCTGCGCGCACTAGACGCTAAACTGCGTGGGTGCTTTTGTGCCGGCTTGGGGGAGCGCCGCCATTGGCTGGTGTGCTGCTCGGATCGTTTCCCGGCGACCTCTGTGCTCATGCTGGCGACATGCTTGGTGGCGTTTCTCCTTTGCATCTTGGCGGGCTGTCGTCTGTTCCCGTTGGCGTCCCGTTTGCCTGCAATGTGGCTGGCCTACATGGTGTTTCCTTCTCGCTCCCTCCATGCTTGTTGACTTGTCTTCCCAGAACCCTTCTTTTCTATCTTGATATACGGCGCAGGCGACGGTCGGTATCAATATCCCGCTCTCGAGTCGGGCACGCACAGCACAGGACACGCGCAAACCCAGAGCTGCCCCTCCTTGTGAATTGTTCTAATGGCGTCCAAATTGCGAGGACAGCGAACCCACAGCCTCCCAGGCGACCCTTCGGCCTCGCAGCCTCTGCCGTCGCGCGGGTCTGGCAGGCACACGTCCGGCTCCTCCTCCTCCTCCTCCTCCTCCTCCTCGAGGCACGGCTCTAGGCCTGGATCCAACTCAAAATCGACCTCGCCGCTGCCCTCGCCGATCGTCAACGACCACCAGCGGGTGGGCTCATCCATACCCGGGCCCGACCGCTCGTTCCTCGTGCTCGATGACCCCGCGCCGCCTCGCACCCCCCGCTACGACCGAGACTCGATAGTCACCATCGCCGAGGACCCCTTCCTGAGGCGCTACGCCGAGCCCCCGGGAGATACGCACGACCCCACGCCGCCCAGCAGCGTCGCTGCCGACGCCGACGCCGACGCCAGCGTTTGGCCGCCTCCTCGCCGCGACTCGCTGACACTGGACGTGGCAGCCGCAGCCGCCGTCGACAGCGAGGCAGCCGCTCCTAAAAACTGCGTCGACAGCCCCCGCACGAGCCCCCACGAAGTCGGCAGAATGGACTCGGTCAATATCGCCGTAGTCGGCGCCAAGGGTGTTGGCAAGTCGGCCTTCATCCAGCGGGCGCTAAGCCAGACACGGCCGCTGCCGTCCAATATCATGCCCGTCCGGCTCAAGGCCGAGGGCGGCATGACTCTTTTCGTGACGCTGATTGAGCTCGATCTCGAGGACTTTGACGACACCCCGGGAGACCAGCCAATCCGTTGGCCAACGCACCTCGCCGGCCATGCAGTGGCTCTGCCGAGGCCTCACTGCGCCCTCGTCCTATACGATGTGACGAGCATGGATAGCCTGAGATCACTGCCGCAAATAATGGGTACGTCTAGTAGCGAAAAAGAAGACAAGGACGTGGTTGTCGCTGCAGTTGTGTGTGATTGGAATCTCGTGTGTGCGCGCGACGGTGGCTGTGCCGCTGCTGCAGCCGCCGCTGTTATCGTATTCCTTTTTGCTTTTCGTTAATTGCGCTGCGGCTTCCCTGCTCTTTGGCTTCTCCCGCTGGTCCATCTCCCCGCTTCGGGCCCTCGCTCGCAATGCGCTTGGCGCGACCTAACGATGCGACTCGCTGGCAGGTGCATTGGAGATGAGCAACCTCCCGCGGATTCTCGTGGCCACCAAGTGCGACAACCCGGAAAGCGCACGCCGCGTCAACACGGACGCCATCCCACGACACTTTCCTGGCGTTTTGAACCTCATGACTTCGGCAAACGTGCCCAGCACGGCGAGGGAGTCGCTCAACGCCATAATCAAGGCTGCGCTGGGCGCCAAGATGGGTAAGTCGAGTCGCACCAGAGGTGTGCACTATTTTGCGTTCTGGCCCCTCTGACCCTGGGCTGTCGGTTGGTTGCGTCCCGGCAGCATGGGTCGATAAATCTAGGCCTGTTCCCGGGGTTCCGGCAAGGGTTTTCCACCGGCGCAAGTGCGTTTGTTGTTGATCCAAAACTCAAAACTGGGCCCCCTGTCTCCACGCCCACAGGTAACAGCTGAACCCCTGGGGTCTGAGGCGGAACGAGAGGGTCCTCGAGCCGCCTGCTGAGCAGGCCTCGGCCGCCCCCCTCAACTCTACCCTGGGAGCTGGGTTACATTCCTTGTTTTTTTTTTTTTGGGCATTCTGGCCGTGCTGACAAGCAACTCGCACTCAATTGAACTACAGGCGGTGATAAACAAGACGCCACACTCTCCCGAAGGCGAGCTGCCTCCTCGGCCGCGCATCTCGAGGCTCCCGACTACGTCAACGGCCGACCCCTCAGCCAACACTCCAAGCACAGCCGCGCGAGCTCCGACTTGTCCCTGCTGCGTGGCGTACCCCCGCCCGGTGCCAGCGACGGCTATCGGGGCCAATCCAGATCCCGATCCCCGAGGATGGAGCACCCCTCCACGCCACAGACGAGCTCATCGGCCTTTGGCGGCGGGGCCGACGCCCTCGACGACGGCGGCGGCCTCACCGTTTCCAGTATGCTGCGCACCCACGGCGGCGTCCGCCTAGACACGGGTCGCGACACCTTCCTCGACGACTCCGAGGCCGAGTCGTACCGCCGGTCGGACGACATCCCCATCCTACAACGAAACGACGAGAACTTCCCCGAGCAGCTCGCCAAGCTCATGGGCGTGAGCTTTGACGACCTCGTCGACCGCCTGCTGGCCCCACGCATGACGAGGGCTGACAACCAATTCGCCGATATCTTCCTATGCCTCTACCGCAAGTTCGCGCCCCCGAACGTGCTCTTCTCCGCCATCCTCGCGAGGCTAGAGATTGGGAGGGACAAGAGGGACAAGAGGGAAAAGAAGGACGGTCTCTATCTTGTCGCCATTCAGTCCCAGCTGCGCATCGTCGAGGTCGTCGCCCGCTGGGTGCAGCTGTACCCAGGTGATTTTGCCCGGTCCGCCACGAGGCGCCGCCTCGTGGACCTTGTCGGCCACCTTTCGATTGAGCCCATATTCACGGCCGCGGCCCACCAGATGCGCTGGTATCTGGACCACCGCATCTTTGAGGACGATGACACAGGATGGGCCGAGTCGGACGAAGCGGACGAGGCCCCAACAACACTCCCGCAGGACCGGCGGCCTAGCGGCGTGGCGGAAAGGTGCTACGGCACAACCGGTGGCGTCAATGGCAGCATGTCGTCGTTGCAGATCGACGATGACAGGAGCGGCAGATCCGCCGCGCAGTTCCAGTACCATTCGCTCGAGGACTACGTACGGGAGGCGGCCACCATGTCGCCAACTTCGACGCTGCCACTCAACAAGATTCGCTACCACATCTTTTTGGACAAGAACACGGACGATATCGCCGACGAGATGACCCGTATAGACTGGATCATGTTCTCGTCGATTGGCATCCGCGACCTGGTCCGAGACGTCAGCCTGACGATGGAGGAGAAGGAGCGGTGCCGCAGCCTACAGAACGTGAGCAGGATGATCAGCCACTTCAACCACCTGGCGCGGTGGGTGGCCAATATGATCCTGATCCGCGACAAGCCCAAGCACCGAGTGCTGGTTCTCGAGAAATTTGTGCAGATCGCGGCCAGGTTGCGTGTGCTCAATAACTATAACGGCCTTGCGGCAGTGCTGGCCGGCCTCAACAGCACGTCAATATACCGGCTCTCGCAGACGTGGTCGCTGCTGAGCTTAGACTCTGAAAAGCGATTCAAGTCTCTGTCGAAGCTGATGGCGACCGAGATGAGCCATGCACGGTACAGGCTCGCGTGGGAGAACTCGCCCATGCCCAAGATCCCATACATACCGCTACACCGCCGCGACCTGGTCTCGGCCGAGATGGGCAGCCGGACCTTTGTGGGTCCTTTGGGCGATAGGATCAACTGGAAGAAGTTTGAGGTCCTGGGCGAGGTGATGCTGCCGCTCATGAGGAGCCAGGGCACTCCGTACCCGAACCTGAAGAAAGACGACGGGAGCAGAGAGCTGATTCTGGACTGCAAGATGCCCATCGACGAAGATGTACGTCTTGCCCGCTTCCGATCGAGACCAAGGCCATGGACTAACCGACGCATCCACAGGACATATACCAGCGCAGCGTGCAGGTCGAGAGCGCCTCGGGCCAGGGCGAGTCGAGCAGGAGAAGATTCCCGTGGTTGAGTTGAGTGGGTAATGAATGGTATTTTTCAAGGTTCATGTAGACCATGAGTTATGGACTTGGGTTTCTGGGCAAGGGTTTGAAGTCCGCCGCCCAGCTTGGCGACAGGCGCCTGGGCTTTCGGTTCCCCCTTCTTCTGTTTAGCATACCTGGCTCGGCGTATTCTGGCGGTATTCTTCTTCGCAGTATTATTCTTGTTTCACCTCTCCCATTCTTACCCACGCGATGGTGCGAGGCGCCATCAAATCCACCCATCCACGCATTCCTGTTGCAATTGCGCCCCAGAAAAAACAAAGCAATGGACGCGGCAGTTTTACCATTTCCCCCTACCATCTTGGTTAATTTTTTGTTCAACTATTGCCTCTTTACTCGCCAGGCATTGGCACCGGAACCCCTCTGGCAAGACGTCGAGCCCGCCAGCTAATACCCCTCGTATAGAAAGTAATTATGACCACCCTCGCATGGATTTCATCCTGCATTTCATGCTCTTCTATATGTTAGTTATGGCAGGGGTTCGAATTTTAATAAGTCAGCTTTGCGCATTGCGCCATACCCAAAACGGGAGTGCTCCTTCCCCAATAAACTCATCACCAGATCAGGCAGGTCCGACGCCCCATTCACCTTTGGCGATAGCCACACAATTGGAGGGTATGGGCTGAACTTCTCCACTGGGCACGGGCGGTCCTTCCTCGCCCGTGTGTGGTGCGTCTGCTTTGGCTCAGATCGGCTCTGCATCGCCAAGTCAGCACCACCAATCACTCACTTCACCATTCCGTCCGCACTCTCGGGGAGGAGATGGCCCATTATAGCCGCTTTTGCCGTCCCAACAGCAGCTCGGGCTTTCCAATGTCGGCTGTTTCTCGCCGCGTCTGGGCCGTTGTGGGTTCTGCCTCCTTTTTCAACATCTCGGATCGCGCCCCTGTCGCCAGCGCCCGCCGCGGACTATAGAACGACCCTGTGCCATGAGAGAGGCACATGTGCGCATGTGCCCCATCGAGCTCGGCCTTCGAGATCTCCCCGGCAAGCTGCGCCTCGAAAGCAGCCTGACCCTGGCGCTGCCCGATAGCTGGGACCAAGAGGCAACCGCAGACAACCTCGCCGTGGCAGCCATCGCGGGTAACCTGTGGGTGGAGCGGGCAAGCCCCTGCCGCCTCGGCGTCGAGGTCGCGATGAGCGGCGGCGCTCTGGCAGAGGAGGCGAGATCCGAGGGGCGGATTGTCGAAGCCATCAGACGTTGCTCCGTAAGCCTGAGCCGTGGGTCTTCGCGCGGTGTCTCCAGTCCTCCCTCGCCCTGGATGCCAGGTAGGTATCCAACGCGCTAATCACGAGAGACTGTGTCTAGGCCTGGGATTTGCTTGGCATCCAACTCAGCCGGAGCCAGAGGCCGCCCCAAGACGCCGACGGAGATTCGCAAGCCCCTGGAGCTCTCTTTTACATCAAGCACAAGTCAAAAGCCTCCGGGCACCTGCCGTGCAACTACGCGGCACGAGCTCAGCTTCGACAGCTCGAGTGCAGGTTCAGCTTCGACTTTGCCGTCCCCGAGACACCCAAACCCAGACGGACAGTTCCGGCACCGCCCCCTCGGCCGAAGAAACGCCCCAGCGACGCTCGAATCACTCGCTCCATGACGAGAGAAATGGAAGAGGGGGGAGTAGGTGACGGTCTGCCACCTCGTCAACCAGAGCTTCCGATTGCCGTAATCGAGCGAAGTGTGAGGATTCTCACTAGGGCATCGCTCTATACACTGCTTGGGATCAAGAAACGAACCCCGCGGGCCATAATGCTGCGACCTTTCCAGTCCTCGACTTTGCTCAGTATCGCGCCTGCGGTGTGGAATATGGGGTATCTCCAGGTTCGATCCCCCTAAGGGAGCCGCCTTGTGTTGATGTCGAATGCTAGATCTGACATGACATGGATAGTCCATCATCGAACACGCCCCTTCCCTCCAAAGAATTAGCTCGGTTCTGGGGCGCCTTGCGACTAGCGCCCAATCGCCGAGTCTGGCACACAGGATTGAACAGCTTGGCGAGCCGAACTGGCAGGGAAAGGGACAAGATGGTGGACCTGACCTTCGGCTCGTGACCTCACCAGACACTAGCGGGCCTGCCACAGACATCACAGACCACATTGGACAAAAGTTGTGGCCCATTCTTCAAAGCAGCATTTCATTCACGAAACTACCTCGATCACGGGCCTTCTCTGACACGATCACGCCTGAGCATGAAGACGCAAGCCCTAGACGCTTCGATGAAGGGAATATCAGCGAAGCATCGGTCGATGACTACCAAGAAAGAAGGGTAGGTGTTGATGGTCATGAGATATACCACGACTGGCGGGATGGTGAGGAGCCTAGTCAAAACGACGGAATCGATGAGTATGAGCCACATCGGTGTCCCGGGGGTTCTATAGATGACGATAGCTCCATGTGGGAGCCAGGGGGTTACCCATACTATCACGAACAGAGCCCAGAGCGCTTCAGTGTAAGTTGCTCACCAATTTTCCAGCTTTCAGTGCGACTGTGCTGAGCGATATAAACACAGCAGATTAATTGGATTCAGGCTGAGGGCGTTGAAGAAGACAGCTGGGCTGGTGAGTTTAGTGACATCACCTCACAGCCCGCCAGTTGGCTTACAGGGCCGCCAGCAGTTGGTCGCTTCCTCGGGAGTGAAGAATAGCAGGCAGCGAGGGGGGCGAAGCGGTGGACGTTGTAGTGGTGCTCTATTGGTCTGGCAAAGAGCCCCGAGGTATGCCGGCTCTCGACTTGGCTATCATGTTGCTTGAAGCTCCCAAATATGCGGCTTCTTGGACATTTGGCTAGATATGTTGCTGGATATATTCACAGCTAAGCTCCCGGTGAAACGCCTGGATACAATACCGCGCTCATTGAGCATCGTCATTACGGACACACGGTGTAGTTGGTTATGCGCATGGGCTAGGGCCGGTATTGGGAAAGGATGTAGATCTCAATTGACTAACGGCAGCTTGCGCCGTTCACTGCTCGACGCGATGACGCTGTAAATGAAGAAAGCAAGAAACAAAACCACGGATACGGGCTGTGCCCCATAGGCAAGGTGTTTAGATGACGCATTTGAACCGAAAACAAGATGAATAAATACACCAAGAAATGAAATCAAAGCCAAGTCGCTGATATGCCTCGAGTCTCACCATCTAGGTCGGTGGAGCCGAGAGGGAGAGAATGTCTGTCCAGGTCAGGGAGTTGGTTCCGCCCGCGGTGTGTTGGCGCGAATCACGAACAGGACACATGCCTCCCTCCCGCGCAGTCGTGGCGGACATCCGATGCGCTTCCGCGATGGCTCTTTTCGCGTCGCAAGAGAGGTTGCGAAAGTAGGGGGGGCGAAGCGGTTCGGTACCGTCGTTTGGGGGTTCTGTTGCTGTCGTTTGGGTGAGCCGGAGCCGGAGCAACTCCTTCCCTTCCTCTCTCCCCCTTTTGTACCCTCTCTCTCTCTCTCTCTCCTCTCTCCTAGTCGACTCTCGCTCCGTCCGGCCCGGGGTGGGTGTTTGTTTTTTGTTTATCTCGCGGCGGGAGGCTTCCCGCCCCTGGCCGCCGGGGCGGCGCCCTTCTTCTCCTTCTTCTTCATCTGCTCGGGCTTGAGGGTGGCGTGGTGGATGTACCAGATCAGGGTGATCTGCAGGATGACGGCGACGAGGACGACGAGCAGGATGGTGAAGAGGATGGGCTGGTCGTTGAGGACGGCGACGGCCTGGGGCGTGGCGCCGATGGAGAGAAACCAGTCGAACTGACCCATTTTGTTGTCGTGGGTTGTTGTCGTTGTTGAGCGGGGGGTATCGAAGGGGGCGCGCGACGAGCGGAAGACGTGCCGGACGTGTTGGCTTGGGAAAGAGAAAAGAAAGAAGGAAAACTGGTTTGACCTGCGCTGCGGGACAAACTATTCGGGGGTTGCGATGTTCCAGAAGAGAGGGAGCTGGAAAAAGACGGGAACAGAAATTAATAGGGCGCGAACAGGGAGGAGGTAGAAACAAAGTGAGAACAGCAAAATAAAAAATGGCAAAATAAAAAGGCTGAGATATCACGAGCTGGATGAGGCCACTTGAGAAGGGGGTCCAACGGAAGAGGTTCGAAACGACAGACGTCGGGTTCGAATCGACTGAAGGCGCCCGTTTCAGATCAGGGGCTAGTCCCAATCTAGGCGGTTCCCAGGGATTGCCGCCGGTTCGATGTGGGCGTCGCAACCCGCCCTTGCGGGCTCCATTCTGCAAGGGTCGCCGTTTCACAAGGCCGATGGGCTGCCAGGTGTTGACACTCACGTGACATGGCACGTGGAGGAGCAGGATGTCTGATGTAGGTCGAGCCAGACGGCGAAGGCCAATTGACAGGGGTTGCCGCAAGGAGCTCGGACGGTTTCCAAAAATTTAGCAGTGAGAGCTGCAGCGACGACGCCATTGAGAGAGGGGATTCCGGCCATGGAGAGAGGTAGGGGCGCCCGCACATAAACCCGTCCTTTTTACGTTTTGCGTTCCGCACGTCTGCAATCGAGCTTGGCGGATCCGGCTGAGCGGCCGCCTCACTGGGGCCCGGCCCACGAAACGAGCGAGCAAGAGGGCGCTCCCACAAGGCACTTAAAGGTACCACCACCACCACCACAGCCACACATATACACCTGTACACAATGAGCGCAACAGCCGTCAGGGGCTTGCTCTCGGGGCGATGCCTGGCCACGCGGAGCACACGGCCGCCAACGAATGCGGTGGCGGCAATGGCCGCGGTCGCCGCCGCAGCAGCAGCAGCAAATCCTAGCAGCAACACCATGGCGGGGCCAACAAACCAGGGCCGGCAACAGCAGAAGAGGGGCCTGCACGGCTCGGCGGCGCTCTCGGCGCGGCGCAGGCCGCGGTTCAAGAGCGTGCAGGCGGACAAGATGGGGCTGACGACGCCCGAGAAGGTGGACGAGTTCACGGGCCAGCACTTCCCCGACTACACCGAGGCGGACCTGGCGAGGCTCGCCGAGGCCTACGGGCCCGAGCAGATGGAGGCGTTGCGGGCGGGCGAGGCGGCCGTGGAGGCGCGCGACCTCACGGTCCAGGGCCGGCTGCGGCGGGACCCCTACCAGCTCGGCTACGTCGACGACCTGGCCACGGTCCGGCCCATCGTGGACCGGCGCGCGCGCGCGCGGCCGGCGCCCGACACGCGCTCGCGCTTCATGACGCCCGACGAGTTCACCGACGACTTCCTCGGCTGGCTGCAGGGGTTCGTGCCCGAGGACGTCAACCTCGAGGGCATGTCCGAGGACGAGCTCGCGGCCACCATCGACAAGTACGCGCCCTCCAACCTCGACGTGTTCAAGTACTTCAACGAGCGCTCGTCCATGACGGACGGCGGGCGCGGGTCCAACTCGGCCCTGGCGCCCGCGCTCATGGACAAGGTCCCCGGCGTGGCGGGCAAGTTCAAGCGGGCATCGGACCCCGAGGACCGCGGCATGGACGAGGCGGGCGTGTACCAGGACCTAAAGAAGATCACGGGCCTGACAGTGCCGCAGATGATCGACATGCCGTCAAAGTTCCTCGTCCAGCGCACCGTCACCAACCAGACGCGACTCGGCAAGATCATGAGCTGGCACGTCATGTGCATGGTCGGCAACCACAACGGCCGCATCGGCCTGGGCGAGGCCAAGTCGACGGAGCTCATGACGGCCCGCACAAAGTCGCGCCTACAGGCCATCAAGAGCATGATGCCCATCCGCAGGTACGAGAACCGCACCATCTTTGGCAAGTCCGAGGCCAAGGTGTCGGGCACCATTGTGCAGATGTTTTCTCGCCCGCCAGGTTGGTTTATCATCTCTTATTTCGGTTTCGGTATTTCCCCCCCTTTTCCCCTCGCAGTCTACTGATGCGCTTTGTGTGTTTCGATAGGATTCGGCCTCCGCGTGTCTCACAGAGTATTCGAGATTTGCCGCCTGGCCGGCATCAAGGACCTCTCGGCGCGCATCCCGCGGTCCAGGTGCCCCATGAATACGGTCAAGGCCACCATAAAATGCCTGACGGGCCAGGTCGACCCCGAGGCCATGGCCATCGGGCGGGGCCGGAAGCTGGTGGATGTGAGGAAGGTCTACTACGGGGGCGCCGTGTATTAATCATGAATTCATTCTTGTGCCTCTTGCGGCAAACAAGAAATCAACCAACGAAAAAAGAAACGCTTTCCTCAATCTCGTGGTGCCTTGGTAGAAAACATCCCACGGGTTGCTACCCTCAGTAGCAATCCGCTTTGACATGGCCATATACGCCCCAAAGTGCTGATGAATATCATGACGCCTGCTTTGCCCCAATCCTTCTGACGTGCCGTAGTCTCTTCCTTGTTTTCCCTATTACTCGTCGTAGTCCCCCTCGTCCCCCTCCCCGGCCCCGGCCTGGTCGCCCCAGTCGATCTCCTGCTGCAGCACGATGCTGTAGACGCTCGCCTTGAGCAGCGTGAAGACGAGGCTCGTCTTGCGCTCGAGCTCGCGCAGCCCGTCCAGTATCTCGACGGGCGGCGCGCTGGAGAGCGTGTCTAGTGTTGATGCGAGCTGGGAGCCGTTTTTTTTTTTTGAGTCATTTTGGTATTTTTAGTCTTTTGATATTCTTGAACCGGGGGTAGATTCACTGTTCCCAAAGTTGCATGTGCCAAACATAAACAAGAAAGAAAAGGTCGAAGAGAGCGACGAAAAATAGACGCCGGATTCTTCACGCACCTTCTTCATGTTCTCGGCCAGCCGCTCGTACTCGTCCAGCACCTCCTGCTCCAGCGGGCTCATCTCGTCCGCCGAGGCCCCGTGGTGGTGGTCCATGTTGCCGTGTGTATATTGATGGAGGCTGCTCTCGGGGCGCGCCGGCTGGGGCCTGCGCAGAGGGCGGCAATATCTCTACTGGACTACCTTGCCCCCCCCCTTTTTTTTTGGCGTTCTCTTTTGTGTATCCTATCAACGACTTGAAGAAATTGCTGCCGGATTAGGTGGTATGAAGATCGGCGCCGGGATTGTTTTCGAGAAGTCGCCGTTTCTTTTTCGCTGCAGCTGCCACTATTGGAGGGGGGCCCTTATTCCCGTCGTCATCCAATTGAACCATCCGCAGGTCCAGGCGGCTCGTCACTCCATGCCCCACATCATCTTCCTCGACCAATCGCCTGTGGGCTGCCGCCCGCCCCCTGAGAGATGCGCATGAACAAGCAGACGGCTTATCGACGTCACCTCCACCACCAACGCATGCTTTCGAGGAAATGGTGCAATCACATATATTGCCGTTTTTGCTATCTCCCGACGCCTTTCTGTTTTGCTATCTCTCCTCGTTTGGGGGACATTGCGGCGACCGGGTAGGGAGGGGTAGGTAAGTATTTAGGGAACAAGGACAAAAGAAACGTAGCAGGATGGAGATGAGAGGAAGGATTGGAAGAAATCGACCTTGACTCCGGTGCAGCACTCGGATGTGATGTGAGCGTATGAGGCAATGAAAGTGACAAGTGAGATAAGGGAGAGTGAGCAAACAAAAGTAACAGACAAGGCAAATAAAGATCAGGCCAACAAAACACCACCATGTCATATCGGTTTTCTTTTTTCTGTAACATCGTCTTCACACACCTCGCTCGTGGCAGTCTTGACGTCTCCTCCGCCGCTCATTGACGAACCCCACTCTCAAGTGGCAGCTACTTCCCATATCGGGGTTGTGTTCAGCAAACGGACAGCAGAGAAGTTCTGGAGGCACTTTCAACAACAAAAAAAAGAAAACAGCCTCGAGAATGGTTCGGATAAACGTGAGGAATGTGGAACATCAAACAAAACACAGGTCCTTGTTGCAAAAGAAAACTGTACTTGTTTGATACCCGCTTAACCCCGTCCCAAAGCCCCCGCGGCTCGCGTCGTGCTGGGGCTCAAAATCAAAGATATAGACGCCTTGATTAGGAAAATAAAAAGAGTAACAGAAGAAGCCAAGGATGCGCTGGTAATGATGCGCGATGCGTGCATGTAGGTGACCTTTTCACCAATCCCATCCCCAGAGACTACCGTGGATCGGAAAGGGTCAGGGTTAAAGGAATGGAATGGAGAACAGGGCATTCCGCAGCTTCAGGCCACCTATTCCCCCAACGCCGTCCCCTCCTCCACAGAAACAAGCACTTTAAGCAACCTCCTCAGCAAGCATCGTCTATCTGCCCTTGCTACTAGATTGTGAGTAGCTACTGCTCCCCTCTTGGTATATCTGTGGCTGATGCTGCTCGTCGCCGTCGTGGTGGAGAGTGACGCTGTTGAACTCCTCGAACGGATCGATGGGCGTCTCGCCACCGGGCGTGGCCAGCTCGCTGTCCAAGGGCACGCCGCGGGGCGCCATGGATCTGGAACCGCTGATGTCGACGCTTTCGCTCTCCTTGACGTTGCGGAAGTTGACAGTGTCGATGCCCCGACCCTGGTGCGGCACGATGGGCGGCTTCATGTGCCGGATCAGCGCCCACTGCGTCGTCCGGAAGAAGGGGTGTCCCTTTATGTCTGATGCGCCTGCGCGCGCCCCCAACCGTCGGTTTTCGTCCTTTATCAGGAGCTTGCGTATCAGGGACTTGCAGAGACTGTGACGGAGTTAGACAACGGCCAGCTCAGAAAAATCAAGGAGAGAGGAATTGATGCTTACTTTGAGAGGTGCGGCGGGTTGTCAGGGAACGGTATGTCCTCGCGCAGGATGTTGGCAAAGGTGGCGTTGCGATTCTTGCCCTTGAAGGGCGTCGTCCCGTACAGCATCTCGTAAATCAAGATGCCCAGGGTCCACCAGTCCACCGCGCTAGTGTGGCCGCTGCCCTTGATAACCTCGGGTGCAATGTACTCCTCGGTCCCCACGAACGAGTTGGTCCGGAAGTTGGCGATGCATGACCTCGTGTCGATGGTCGGCAGGGAGCTCGTGCTTGCGCCGTTCTTACCGATAATCATGGTCGGCTTGCCACCCGGATCCGACTGCTTTGACAAGTCAAAGTCTGACAGCATGATATGGCCCGACTGGTGTAGGAGGATGTCTAGAAAAGAATGGTGTCGAGCGTGAGCAGGAAGGCTTGCAGAGATAAAAGGGCTTCACTCGGGGCGGCGACGATGAATGAGAATAAACCTACTTTCTGGCTTCAGATCCCTGTAGATGAAACCCATCAGATGCAGATACTCGAGCGCGGCGGTGACCTCGGCCGCGTAGAAACGGGCGTCGTCCTCGGCAATGCACTTGCCAGGACGTGTCTGCAGTGCCCTGAAGAATTCGCCGCCACTGCAGTATTCCATGCAAAGGTACAGGTGGTCCTCGGACTGGAACGAGTGGTAGAGCGTCACGATGAATGGGTGATTGCTGGTCGCAAGGATCTCCTGCTCGGCCAGCGCCCTCTTGATCTTGTTACGCTTGATCATCTCCTTCTTGCTCAACACTGTTCGCGACAAACCGACATCGTTAGCATGCAACACGTTTTCTGGATAGCGAGCCTGACTAGGAGCAACACAGGAAGCGCTCCTCCTCCTGGATACCCGTCTCGTGCATACCTTTCATGGCATACAGCCTTGAGCTCTTCTTTTCCCTGACAAGATACACCTTGCCAACGTCGCCCTTGCCGATGAGTTTGATCTTGTCGAAGCTCTGGGGGCCGACCTCGACGTTGCGGACCTTTATTGAGTTGGAGCTGTATGTCCTGCGGAACGCAAGAGCGGTCTGGGGTGAGGGCAGGGCCCCGAGGCCGTCAGCATCGGGGACGGCCAGGTTGTCCCCGCCGGCACCGGCAGCGCCAGCCTTGGACTCGACGAGGCCGACGGCGCTCCCGTTCTTATTCACCATGACGGGCTCCTTCCCCAGCTCGGCCGTCGCGGGGCGCTCGCCGCTGCCCTTCCCCTTTGAGGAGAAGAGACCCTGGGCGTTGGGAGCGCTGGCGACGCGGCGGAGCTTCCGGGCAAGCTCTTCCTTGGTGGACGTGGTTGCGCGGTCCTGGGCGGCGCCGCCGGCAGCGTCCTTGCTGCTGGCAGCCTTCTGGCTCGGGGTATCGGGCGGACTCGGGGGCACGGAACCGGCATTGTGATGACGCAGGCCCGGCGGCCCCTGGTGAGCGAAATAAGGGTTGGCATAGGCAGTAGGGCTGAGGGCCTCGTCGAGGGTGTTGCCCTCGCTAGCGACGGTGGTGGAGCGCAGGCGGCCGACGGTTGCGAAGAATTTTGACTGACGGAACGAGGACTTGTGATCGGGCTTGAGGGTGTTGGCGTGGTGGTTCAGACCGTCGGGGGTCTGCGAGGCGGACTTGTCGGACGAACTGTTGATGCGGAAGAAGTTCTTGAGGCGGGTGGGGAAGTGGTTGTGGCCGTTGGCATGACCGTTGGGGGCATTCGCGGATTTGGTGGAGGACGGCATGTTGGCGTCATACAGCAGCCGCGGCCATGTTGGGATGCGCTGTCGTCGGGGAGGAGGAGGGTTGCTGCTGGCCGCGTTGGGCGTTGCAGCAGCGGCCGACGATGCACGGGGGAGAGGGATGGCAGTCGGCGAAGGAGTCGTGTCGGACGCGAGGGCGGTGGTTGAGCCGCTGGGGAGGAGAGGGCTGAGCGACGACGATGTTGACGGCTCGAGGCGGTGCTGGCGCTGGTTCTGGTGCTGGTTCTGATGCTGGTGCTCGTCCTTGGGTGGGCTCGATCCTACGCTGGGGCGTTGCTGCTGGTGCTGCGGGCTCTGGCAGCCATGCTGAGCAAGCTGCTGCAGGGGCTGCTGAGGCGAGGGTGCCTCAGGCAGAGGTTGGCTGGCCATGGGCGGTTGGGCGACGGGGGTGATGCTGGGGCAGGCCTGGAATACGGCGCTGCGGTGGGCGAAGCGGGCGAGAGAGGGGCGAGGGTGGATTAATCACGGCGGTCGATTACGCGGATTGATTGATTTGTCTCCTTTCTCCGGGGTTCCTTCTGTCCCCTTGCATTTCTCTTGTCTGACCGTTAGCTCTCTGTCTTCTTTTAGTTCCCCGTTTGGGGTGGGCGCCCGTGTTTTCAGTCAGATTTGGATGAAATTAACGACTTGTGTATTTTTGATGTTTGCTTTTTTGTCGTTTAGGAACCCGACGAAAATGAGGGATCACTGTGCTCCTACCGTACCTCCTACGTAGTGACCTACAGTACATCCCGATGCTGCGGGCAGGCACGAGGAGGATTGTACCTACCTAGCATGACAGCGCCATCCTGGCTGGCCTGGTTCCGCAGCTTTCTTGGCCCAGCCAAGCCATATCAGACAGGCAGGCTAGCCTCCACATTGGCTGGGAGTCCCAGAGGGAGTCCCAGATTCCCCAGGCCTCGCCAACGGTCAAGCACCCACAACGCAACCGACGCGTGATTGTCCGCGCCAGCTCTCGCTGCCATTTCCAGGACCAGACATGCCTGAGCGGCTGCAGCAGCGCAACTTGGCCGGCCGTTCCAGACCGTGATCCGCAGGCCAAGCAGGCGCTCGACCCGTCCGTGCAGCTTCACAGCAGCAACCTGCTCCATAATATTATGCCTTTCCCCGCTCTTACACAGCGCCTAGATATGTACCTTTGCTACTTATATTGGTGCACACATGCCTGCCCTGCCCTGCCGTACCTGCTGTGTGCGAACCGACGCCATGCGTGATTTGCCTGGCTGACGGCTGATTAACCCACTCGACCTTCCCGGCTAGGACATGCCGCCGGCTATTGTCCAGCGCGCTGGTGTGCCCCTTTCCTGTCCCCTGTGTTGGGCTGTTCTGATTAGCTGCCATGCTGCCTACCGGCCCGCACATCCCAAGTCCCTCCGGGCTGACAAATGGCCCGACCGCCTCGCTGGTTCGGTGGCTTTGGCACCGGCACATCGGCCTCAGCTGCGGAAACCCGGCCGGGCCGTTTTATTCCCTCCTGACGCCTGAAACACTACCAGCGTGCAGCCATCGCGGTTTGCATATGTTCCTCGTAGCTGGTAGCTGGGTATCTTGTAATGCCTCCAAACAAAGATTAACGTCTGACTAGGGTATGGGAAAGGATAAAAAATGAACATATGGCAAAAAAACCACGCCTAGCTCCAGGTGTGGAAATCCGGGCATTATAGCTGCCTTTTAACTGGGAAGTCGTGTTGCGCCCCTTCTCAGACAGTGGCAATGGGGTTGGCATAAAAGAACTTATCCATCCTCCCCTGCACCGTTTTCATCTTCCTCCCCTTCCGATGGAGCGTCCTCGTTCATCTGAAACAAAGTCTGCTGAAGCCTCTTCTTGTTGGCTAGCCTCGTCGCGTTGTCTTCCAGCTTCTGGTACCAGACCCATGGTGTCAACTCCTTGCCGTCCTTGTCTAGCAGGTAGCTTGGGATGGCTGGTGCTTCGCCATTCTCGTCGTATGAGGCGGTTGTAGTCGTTTTTGCGGACGATATTGGGCCGGCCTTGAAGCCATCTCCGCGGAGCCATTGCAGAGGAATCATATGCACTTTTTCCATGTGATGAGCCAACCGGTCACCGCTGGGAAAAGAGGCTGTAGTAGGCGCGCCTGTGGCTGAGTTCTGTGTGCAAGACACCCATTTACAGCCCGTGCTTCCCCCGTGAACCTTGCGCACGTGAGCGCGCAGTGTGGTCATATTGTGAAGCTCGGCCTGGCATCCAGACCATTCGCACCGGTAGGGCTCAAACCGTGGTTTCAGCGACAGGTATATCTCCCGCGGGGTCGGTGGTGGCTTCTTCGGCGGCCTTCCCCGGGGTTTGGGCGGTCCCTTCAATGCGCCAGAGCTTGATCCTGGTGGCCGACCAACCGGCCTACCGACTGGTTTACTAGCTGCACGACCAGGCCCGGGAGGCCTTCCAGGCGGCCGTCCCGGAGGCCTACCGTGGTGACCTAGCTGGTAGTTGGGGTTCTCGCGCATCCTCCTCTGGACGTACAATAGCCTGGCGGCTTCTGACCTGGGATTGTTGGTGGTCTCTGAGTATGCCATGCCGGGCTTCCAGCCCTTGGGACGACCTCGCTTCTTCTGCGGCGCGGGTGTCGCGGGGCTAGACGTTGCGGCGGCCACGGCATTCTTCACCGCGGTCTTGATTGCAGCAGTAGGTCCCTCAGAACACTCTGCTTTCCTCTTGAAGTGCGGATTAAGGTCAGAGACGACGACGCCATTGGCGGGGTATCCCTCATCGAGGCCCTTTCCGCCGTACCCAGAGGGTCGACTGGCGGCGTGTGCTTGGCGGGATGGCAGCGGCCCGAGGCGAACCTCAAGGCCGCCGCCGTTCGGCGCACCAGAGCTGACATATTTCTCAGGCCCTCCTGGTGTCCCATTCCGAGGTGTGCTAGCCGATGACCCCGTTGGTCGCCTATACAGCTGAAACACATCCATGCCAGGGCTACCTCGACAGCATGATATTGTGCGGTTGTGCGGTTGTGCTGCTCGGACTGTCGTGGGTTGTGGATCAAAGAGCTGGCTGAACGCGTATGGACGCGTCGAGAAGCGAGAAAAAAGGTGCCTAGCGAGGGTTGATGAAGCAAAGATTCGATGAGAATCCGAGGGAGCAAGAGGAGAGTGGTAAGGTTTAAATTATCAACCGAATTAATATGCCTTCTTCGTATCTTTTTTCAGGATGAGGTTGAGAATGTCGACTACCCGCTGCCTCAATCCATTAAGCTGGCCCGGATCCTCCCCATCGAAATCGTCAATTGTGGGTCTCCAATCTGGGTTGGTGTTGTTGCACGGACCAGTGACAGTATGACTGGAGTTCCTGCAAGTACCTCCAGGCTAGAGGATGTAGCACGGAAGGCAGATTCGGAACGTATTCCAGGTTGATGCGTAGTGTATAACCTCAATGCATACGTCGGGGAAGAAGAGAAAATAAGAGAAACCCATGTCCCTCTCGCCTAGCATTTTTCTTGGGTATCCAATGTCTGAATCGCAGCCCCCAAAATCCTTTCAACAACACACGATTTTTGGGCAGGCATCGAATCGCGTGTTGGCGAATACCGGCACGTGATGCGCTGAGTTAAGCCAGTGGGGCGAACCCGAGGGCGTTCCGTCATTTCTGCAGGCAGCCAACCCACCTGTTCAGCCCACTAACGGCTATCAAGCAAGACTCGGAGAAATCCACAGTTACGCAAATCTGTTGAGCCGTCGTTATTCCATTCCTGCGACGGCCCCTCGAAAATCCGAGGAGAACGACGGCAGGGGAGGAGGGCACAATACACCTCCAAGGAGCAACCCGATCGAATTGAAGCTTCTTGACCCCAGAAACCGAACCAAGACCCGCCCCAGGGCCCAAACACCGCCACGATGCCGCCGCCCAAGAAGAACGACAAGGTGGGGGGCAAGAAGCCCAGTGTTGCCAAGGTCGTCGATGACAAGACGTTTGGCATGAAAAACAAGAAGGGCGGTGCCGCTCAGAAGCAGATTGCCCAGCTGGCCGCCCAGGCCAAATCGGGTGGTAATGCGGAACAGAAGCGCAAGGAGGCTGAGAAGGCCGCCCGCGAGCGCGAGAAGAAGGCGGCAGAGGACGCAAAGCGGGAGGCCGATCTGCTACTCAACAAGCCCGCCCAGATCCAGAAGGTCCCCTTCGGCGTCGACCCCAAGACGGTCATGTGCATATTCTTCAAGAAGGGCAACTGCGAGAAAGGCAAGAAATGCAAGTTCTCGCACGACCCCGAGATGGAGCGCAAGACGGAGAAGCGCTCTCTCTACACCGACACCCGTGCCGACGAGGAGGACACGAAGAAGGTCGAGACCTCGGCCGACTGGGACGAGGACAAGTTGCGATCCGTCGTCTTGTCCAAGAAGGGTAACCAAAAGACCACCACCGACAAGGTCTGCAAGTTCTTTGTTGATGCCATCGAAGACGGCAAATACGGCTGGTTCTGGATCTGCCCCAATGGTGGTGATCAGTGCAAGTACAAGCACGCTCTGCCGCCAGGGTACGTATCCTTCGTCACTCTTTCCCAATTGTGTCTGCGATCGCTTAGTCATGACTAACCGGCAACTGTGCAGATTCGTCCTCAAGACCAAGGAGGAGAGGGCCAAAGAAAAGGCTCTTATGGACAAGTCGCCACTCAAAACCCTCACCCTCGAAGAGTTCTTGGAGTCGGAAAGACACAAGCTTACGGGCACCCTCACACCAGTCACACCCGAATCCTTCGCCAAGTGGAAGAAGGAGCGGCTGGACAAGAAAGCGGCCGAGGAGCAAGCACGGCAGGCCAGGGAGGCCACAGGCCGTGCCCTGTTCGAGAGCGGAAACTGGCGGACGGAAGAGGACTTGGACTCCGACGACGACGACGACGACGACGACAATGACGCTTGGAACTTGGAAAAGATGCGTGCAGAGACCGAGGCGCTACGGCAGAAGAGAGAGGACGAGAGATTGGTGTCGCCCGAGGGCGCCCCGCCGGAAACCATCGAGACAGCACCAGACACTTGATAGGGCATCTCCTAGAAACTACTCGCCATAGGCTCCAAGGGCTCAAGCATTCTTCGTGCCCCGCAGCCGAGCCGAGTCGAGCCGAGCAACCCGAGCAACGGGCGCGCAGGCACGCTAGCCTCGGATCGAGGCTGCTAGTGTCGAAGCCGCGCCCACGCCCGGGCCGTTTCACGAGCGGCGCTCCGTGTCTCGCACATATATACTTCCAGTCGGTTGGATTCATGTGTTACTTGAAACAGTCACAAGAGGCTAGGCTACTCTTGAATGTTACACACTTTTGGAAAAGTGATATTGACGTATCGTCTGGCCAAAAGTCCAAAAACCCACGGCGGGCCACGGCTCGATGCTCCCCATGAGATCTATCTCATACTGCCATGTCAACTCTAGGCCCAGGGCCGTGTTGCCCCTCTTTCGAATCGTAATCGGGATACTTTTCAAGACACTCGGGGCGGCCTCTATGGCCAACTAGAATTTCTCGACATATGGCCGCAAATCAACTTCTTGAGTAAATGCGGACCGGTGCTGGGTGTGGAGGTGCCAGTAGGTGTCGGCAATCTATGAATAACCCAGGCTGTTAGTGCTGAACGAGGGAACATCCGAAAACACTGCCGCTCAGGTAGGTATTAGTCTCACCGCATCAGGACTGATCAGTCCGTCTGGGGCGGCATTGTTTGGCTTATACCCGATTTCCTTCAACTTTGGCGTGTCGATAGCCCCGTCGATTATGACGTGGGCAACGTGCACGCCCTGCACATGGGGCAGGAGAGCGAACCAAAGTCAGTCGCGGAACCAAGACGCTACCCGGAGACTTGGGGAAGCGTTATTCAAAGCAGCATAAAAGGTAAGTTGGTAGGTACGCACCTGGGGGCCAAACTCACGGGCCAGCGACTGCGCCAAGGCCCGCTTGGCAAACTTGCCGGCGGCGAAGGTGCCGAAGCGGCTGGACCCCTTGACGCTCGCGGTGGCGCCCGTGACGAGCAGCGTGGGCGGGTGAGGCGAGTGGTCGACCGAGTCGAGCAGGAGCGGGAGGGCGTTTTGGGCAAAGTTGAAGAGGCCTCCTCTGTGGGGTTTTTTTTTTCAATCGCCGTCAGCATTGCATCTTCTTTT